TAGCCATGCTGAAATTACTACGGGCAATGGTGCTGCGTGCTAGTAACATGATTCACTGCAACATGATTGTTCTATCGACCCATCATCAGCATCACCATCATCATCTTCAGCCACAGCATCATGATCATAATTTGTCATTTTCCTCAGCCGCACCAACATGGGCATCATCGTCATAGTAGCAACCCTGCGCGTTCAATGATGGAGCAAGACAAGATTTCAGACATTGCATCAGCAGCGCACGCTACACAGCTACACATCACACAAGCTTAGAAATTCACTCAACTGTCTTCGAACGGTTAGTTCACGTAAACACTAGACCCATGAACCTCAGAAACAAACCACCGAACCCTGAACCCGAATACCGTTGATCCCTCACCCTTTTGGCCTCAGCGAAAATCTGAAATCCAACAAGCCTCTGCCTTACGCGAAGCTCAAAGAGGCGAGCCCAAATGCCCCGAATCCCTAAACCTAAACCCTAATCCCCAAACTACTCCCCTTTGGATTTTTGGGACCCTGCAAGGACGGCAGCCCTTTACTCCTGGGCTCAGGGCACACTCGTAAGCATCCCAATAGCAGCAACTCTGCAAGTTTGGGTTTCAGGGCTTAGGGTTTAACAGTTTAGGCTTTAGTGTTTAGGTGTTCAGTAGACTACGGTTTAGGGGTTTAGTACCTTAGGGTTTAGGGTTTAGGGTTTCGTAGTTAGGGGTTTAGAAGTAGCACTGCTTCTTGGAGGGCCGGAAAGGTGGAGACATAGCACCTTCAAGGCTGAAGGAACTTCAAGCATGGGTGTTGCAGCACCTCAAACTAGGGGTCCCTTTTAAAGGGGGGATATAAGGGTTATATAGAAGTTCTATAGGGGTTATATAGGGTTATATACCTAGGGCTTCCCAAAATTAGGGTTACCATTTTGAGGGTCCCCGTAACAAGGGTTGTAATATTTGGGGGTCCCCTTATTTTGGGAAACTATCATTTGGGCTTCAAGGTGTACTTGGCGTAGGAAGTATGAGAGTCCTTGTAACATCTAGGCTCGCCGCAGTTTGCTGGGTTGAAAGCTCATCTCCGCATTGGAAGTAGGAATTCAGGACTGCTACATATCCTTGGGTCCTGCACCTAGATTCTCACTGACGCCCACATAGTAGTACCACTCGTGATCTGTTGTGGACCAGCCGCTGAGGCTGAGGACGCCAAGACGGCAACAGGTGCAAGCCCCCGTTAAGGGGGGCAAAAATTGGGGGGTCTTTTTTGGGGGGTCGCCATGATAAGAAGAACAAGACATATGATAAGAAGAACAAGACATGGGCCCTATATGGGAGCCCCCACCTTGGGCAGAAACCCCTTTGCAAGAAAGCTTCGTCGAATGAGTTAAGGCAATTCAATGTCCACCGGGCAGGTTGGTCCAACTTAGGATGTGGAGCTGGGATTGCGTCGCCACGATCAGGTATTGTCGATGTCTATCGCAAACCATGCTCAGGTGCCTTCGGCAACCTGGGGTGAAAAATCCTCAGGACTCCTCGCCCAGAGGTGCGGCACGACATACTTTTCTTTGAGTAGGCCATGTCCTTCGTAAATTGACGTAGGATGCATGTGCAAGCCCACAGCACCAACGAAGCTCACCCGTCCCAAGTTTGCAGGATCTGTTCTTGATGCTCTGTTTGGACTATAACCCTATATAATACAGTAGTTACCATTTCCTTTTCCATTTTCCCACTATTATCCCAATAAATCCCGAATATTACCCCAATATATCTCTAACATTACCCCAATGTATCCCTAATATTACCCCAATATACCCCTAGTATTACCCCAATATATCCCTAGTATTACCCCAATGTATCCCTAATATTACCCCAGTATATCCCTAACATTACCCCAATATATCCCTAATGTTACCCCAATATATCCCTAGTATTACCCCCAATAAATCCCTAATATTACCCCAATATATCCCTAATATTACCCCAAAACATCCCTAATGCTACCCCAACTAAACCCTAAACCCTAAACCCTAATATTACCCCAATGGGTACCTATATCCCCAGTGGTCTGAGATGAACTCGGGGAGCTCTTCTCCAGAAGAGAAGGCTGCGCAGTGGGACATGGCAAAAACGGCTGGCTGGCGGAGTGTATCATACGAGGGTTTTAGGGTTTGGGGATTAGGATTTAGGGTTTAGGGGTTTAGGGCTTAGGGTTTAGGGTAGGGATAATTGAAAATAAAATGGAAACTACTATATTATAGGGGCTATATTGGGATAACAGAAAATACAATGGACACTAATATTTAGGGCGTTCATACTAAACGTGGACTGTCTGAACATGTATGTATGCTTGGCAGACAGACATGTCTACATACATCTGTGGGTCAACGTCTGCTCTTCTAAAGAACAAGGAGTTGTGTGCTCACTGCCTCCTGGATGTACATCCCCACGAAGCAAGCTTCAGGAATGTAGCTGAATGTTTCATTAGTGGCAAATACTGGCGTATTGTAGCATTCATGCAACAGGACTGAAGCGTCACGTCGTAATGAACCATGCAAACGACCTAAATCCTTATTGAAGCACTTTCTTAGGGGCCTCCAGGTTTGAAACAACGCAATGAGACTCTATCATGATAAAGGTGTGCCACATGCTGAGACTGAATCGCAGCGGCTCTGCATACCCTTTGACTGCATCTACCCTGGCCTATGCATCGCAACTTCTGTATATCGATCGTAGCGGTGGCAACGGTAGCTATAGAGTGGCATCCAGGGGTAAGAGCAGTAATAATGGCAAAGCGCGCATAAGCATCATCGCCGTAAGGACATGGTTTATGGGTAGGTGAGTCGCGCCAGCCGGCCCGTCTAAGGCTACGCCTGGCAATCGTCCAAGCATGTGCCGCTCATTAAGTGGACCTCAGCGCTTCGTGTGTCAAACACTTCAAGGGGTCTCGCAAACAAGCTTGAACTGATATACGTCAAGCGCTGCCACAGGGCCGCAAAATACCACATTTCCAAGATGTTGGACTCGCTCATACTCCGACCCCAACCAGGCACAGCGTTCTAGAAACTTTGAACCCTCAACCAAATTCCAGAAACTCTGAACCTAATTCCAATCAGAGTACGACTTGCAGACAAGCCACACCATGTCTGGAGTATCAGTGACCCGCATCACTTCAACTTTCTCAGCCTCGATGTGCCGCAGGCAGAGCTAACCATTAGTTGCTATGCGCAATTCAGCGTTCGGGGCTGAGTCAGGTCGTTTTAGTTAGGATGCAGGGTTTCGGGCGTTTAGCGCTGCAGGCTCTAATTATGGGGCTCCCCATTAACTCTCAAAATTATGGTACCCATTAGGGTATTATTGGGGTTATATTGGGGTTATATGGGGATAATGGAAAAGAGAATGGAAACTATGGTTCAAACTATACTAGAGGTGCCGCGCAGTTCCTGATGCAAAAATCATTTCCTTGTGGAGAGTTTGACTCAAAGAGAATCATGTTTGAACGTAGTTTCACGTTGTGCTTGCTGAATCCAAACTCCCAACCTTGCCTAACTACCTGCAGGTTGCTGGTACAGACTTAGGGAAGCAACTACATCTTTAGAGGTTACATAGGGGTTATAAAAGAGGTTCAGTCCTGCATTCCCTGCCAGCTACCTGTAAAAGACCATCCTGCCTGCCCTCCACCCCCAAATCCCTGGATCAGATACCCCGAACCTTAAAATCCAAAATCCCTAGACCCTACACCACATACCCAAACCCGATACCCTAACCCTAGACCCCAAACCCTCAATCCTCTACCCTATGGCCTTGACCCTATACACCCTGTACCAGAAACCCTCTACTCTAAAACTTAAAGCCTAAACCCCTAATCCTTGGCGTCAATCTCAGGCTTTTTGCCCAGCAGCCGCTGCTTCAGCACGGCCTGCAGCCTAGAAGCCAGGGAAGCTGCGCTTAGGGTTGAGAGCTTAGGGACTGATAGGTTTAGGCTTTACGGCCTAGGGATTGATAGGGTTATTAGGGTTTGGGGTTTAGGGCTTGTTAGGGTTTAGGGCTCAGGGAATGATAGGCGTGGGTCTACGGTTGTAGGCTCATAGCTCGCTTTAGGGTGTTTGTTGAGGCTAGGCATGCTGGTAGCACTAGGCAGGGGTACGCACCACCGCAATCGCTGAAACCTTCAAAACCTAGGGGCTTGCAACCCTAAACCCTAAACCCAATCCCCCGTGTCTGATTTACCGCGCAACTGAGCTTATAGTCTCTTTTGAAAATTTAAGTTGACCTGCACATGATTTCTATACAGCGACCAATCAAGCAAAACAAGCAGACTACTTAAATAAAAGGCCTTAAAAGAACACCCCCAAAACGACAGCCCCATAGTCAAATCCCACCGCCTGAAACGCAGCTCGTGACCGACTGGAACTCAGCAAGCCTTAAACACCCACAGCCCCGAAGTTTCAACAGCGAGGAACCCCACAACGCTAAAGGCGAATAGGTCTTTTAGCCTATGAGCCAAAATCTAAACTCCTAGTATCACCCTTGATAACCCCTAGAATACTCCCCTATAATATAATCCCCTTTAAGGAGTTTAGACTGTACTGTAGCTCATATGCAGCCTCCATGATCCTGCTGCCTTTTTCACACGCTCACTTGTAGACCCTCCCAGGTGGATAGCCCTGAAACCGTGCAGCTACACCCTTCGCATCAGAAAATCCCTGGAGGCCCGTAGCCTAAACCCTAAGAAACCTGAGCCCCTAGACCCCTGAAGCCACAGACCCTAAACCCCTGTGAACACCCCTAGAATCCTAATTCCCACTTCATGTTACATGTTCTTTGCCATTTGCTTCTCCATCATGGGGCAACATCCCCGATCTCCCAAATCCCGAAGCCCTGAACCCTAAACCCTAAACAATACACCCTAAACCCTGAAACCCTAAACTCCCACCCAAAACAAACACTAAACCACCAAAAACCCTAAACCCAAAGACCCAAAGCCCCCAAAACCCTAAACCCTACGACTGACAGGCAGGTAGCTGCTCGAGGTGCCAGGATGCATTGAGCAGCCAACTGCGCTGGGCCTGCTGGCTAGGGCTTTTAGGGCCGAGAGTTTAGGGTTCAGGGGTTAGCGTTTAGGGATGTTTGTAAGTGCAACATAAGGTTATGGGGATTCTATTGGGATTATATAAGTTTTTTGTGGGGTTCTACACGACTAGATGTGTTTTAGTTTGTTTTTGCAGTGCTCAGGTCTAGAGTCTAGAGCTTAGGGCTTTGGGTTTTGGTTTAGGCTTTAGGGCGGAGAGCTTAGGCCTGGAACAGAATAACGCCTAGTGCGGAATCCCATCTTCTGAAACATCAGCCCACGATGGCTTCACAACCCGAAAGCCTAAACCCTAAACCCTAATCAATGTAAAAAGCCCGTTGCAGCATTCTCACCTGGCCCAGTGGGGGTCCCGAGATGCCTCGGTTTAGGGTTTGGGGTTTAGGGTCTTGTGTTTAGGGTCTAGGGGTTAGAGTTTGGGCTTCAGGCCAGGCTGCAGTTCAGAATCCACGCAGCCACTCTCAAATCTTTTCCCGCTGCTGAATGTGATGGATGAACAGCCCGGAAATGCGGGTTTCCGGTATACATAAAGGGAGGCACAGGAGTTGACACTTGCGGAATAGATTCATTCATCATGACTACACCAAAGAAGAGGGCAAGGAACATTGAGAATAACCCTGTAAGGCGTAGGTTTGGGCATTGAAGGTTTGTAAGGTGTACTGACAGCAACGAAAAGTTGTGTGGCCAGCGCATTGTTGTTCTTAGACATGAACTGCCTAAACCGCTTACCCCTATGCCCTATGACTATGATGTATTAAGCCGTCCTTAAGCAGTACATCTATCCCTTGAAAAGGCCCGTCACGAGACCTCTGAAAAAGCCCTGAAGAGTCACGATATGCCATGTATCCGCAGCCATAATTCCAAGTCCTTCCTCACTTTTAATTCCACAAACCAAAGAAAGCCCTAACCTACGCCCTAAACCCTAAATAGTAGTTTACATTTTCTTTTCCATTATCCCTATAAATATAACCCCTACATTCCCTATATAAGCCCCTTGAGCCTCACCATCCTTGGCTCTTGACTTGGAATCCCTAACCAGCTAAAAGCTCCTCTGGGCGGCCTTGTGGGGTACAGGGAATGTAGGGTTATATAGGGAGAATGGAAAAGAAAATGGAAACTACTGTATAGGGTTTAGGGCGTCGCCTTGAGCATGGTATCGACTTCGCGCAACCAAATGGGTTTCCACTCCTCTTCAACCTGGTGGCGCGGAGCTTTTTAGACCCATTTCACTTACTGGTTCTTAGAAGCTGATACGGGAATATCTCTTAAATATGGATTACATATGGATTCTATTTCCCTCACTCCCCTACATCATCACCGAAGGCTCTAGTTGTCGTTGAACAGCCCCGATCGATCACCCGATGCCCCCGAAAGACAGCCTACAATCCCAAGCCCACTCGATCCTAAACCAACATAGTGTAGGCTGTAAAAGAACATGGTCTCTTTTGGGGTCATTTGGCCCATACAATGTATGGTACCCAACCATGGACCGTGCTTTGACACTGGGGTTTAGGGTTTAGGGCTTAGGGTCTCAGAGTTTAGGGTTTCGGGTCTTATCTATTCTTTCTTTTGATTTCCAGTTGATTGCATGCGGTCGTTACACATACCCTAACTTCCAAACCTTAATGCTTAGAATTGAAACCCTATGTAATCTCCTCTTAACCCTGATATAACTGTTATGCTATCCTCATATCATATCATATATGAGGACATTATCCTGACATTACCGTTACATTTTTCATTTATCATTACACACATCCCTACTGTGAATGGAGGAAATTTGGCACCACCCTCATACACCCTAAAACTCAATGGTTGCAGCACTTTGGGGGTTGCTAAGTGTTGCAAGATTTCCTCCATCCACCCTAAACCCTAAACCCTAAACCCTAAAACCCTAAAACCCTAAAACCCTACACTCCATAGCTCAGCAAGCAGCGGGCTCCGCTTCAGCGGGCTCGTTGCCCTCCCCGGCCCCGGCTTCGGGAGGGGGCTCCTCGACGACTTCCGGCTGCCTGGGGCTGGGTTTCTTAGGGAATAGAACAGAAATGTCAACTCTATTGAAGCGATGTGTAGAGTAGATAAAGTTATTGGGGCAATTATAGAGGAAAATGGAAAAGAAAATGGAACCCCCCCAAAGGATATGTAGGGATCGGGATAAAGGGGAATGGAAAAGAAAATGGAAACCTTTTGAAAGGGATATCTGGGGACTCTATAGGAATATAGGTGAATGGAAAAGACGATTTAAAGTGGAGTTGTGCTACGGAGGCTTCAGAGGGTTACTGCCAACGTAGAGGTCTTTGAGGCGTTTGGGTGGTAGCAGATTGGTCGGGTAGGCTTTAGGCTTCAAGAGGTTCAGGGCCTAAAGTCTAGGACGTAGGGTTTCACGTCTGGCTTTTGTATTGAGGTTTAAGTTGGAAGGCCTCATCCAGGGGTGGCGTGATCCATGGTTTTGCTGTAGGGTCCTAGTATCCCCCGTACTCACCACTTTCAGACTCCCCGATATGATCCCTTTTTAGCCTGCTTTAAAGAGTTTGATATTTATGTTGGAAGGCCTCATCTAGGGCATTCCAAAAAAACCCGCGATACTCTCACCACGACTGCATTATAAACCTCTACCTTACACGGGAAGGTTTTGCTGTTGTATGGAACATGATTGGGCTGGGTTGCTGTGAGAGATCTTAATGTAAGTTACTGGAATCAGGCAACCCGATTATTTACTGCATACTCATAGTATGTTAACTTACATTACATTCCTTAACAGCAACCCAGTAGAGTCAGTAGAGAGCCAACTTCCAGGGCTTAACTTGACGCTACTGTGGCTCAACTTGCCTCTGCCTGGATACTCCGTCGGCATCATTCAGGGACTGCTCATGGGGAGTGGGGAGCACGGAGGGCTTCAATGGAATTGGGGGTGCCTGAAAATTGGGGGGTCTCACTTTGTGGTACTTGGGCTGAGTGTCGACTCGGGGTCAGACCTGACAAAGATCAGCAAGGAATGCAGCTTGAGTCTTAAACAGACCCACAAAGCAAAAATGAGTCGTTGAATGAAACTTCACCTTGCGTAAGCGATAGTCTCAACTTTGATAAGAAGAGTTGGTCAGACCTTGAAGATGATAGCAGCAGAGCTACTGACGCTACAGTGAGCAACGAATTGATTGTGGGAAGCGAGCTCAAGTCCAAGCTCAGCTCGACAAGTACTTGGGCTTTACAAGACGGATATATGGTAATCTCCCTAGATAAGGGGACCCAATAAAACCTCAAGAATACTACAGCCCTTATCACAGGGACCCAAGAAAGTACACCTAATTCCCATACAATGAACAATGGGGCTGCCTTGTTATGGCAGCTCGTAAGACCATTCCGCGAGTGTTGAGACATTGTGCAGGCGGACTTCAAAACACTCGGGGAATTCTCAAAGTTGGGGCCCGATACTGGTACCTCTAAATATTAGGTGCCGTAGTTAATACAAACCATAACCAAGAAGAGGGACCATAATTTTGAGAATAGTCAGCTCTAGAAATGTGCGCACAACAGCCCATGCGTGAGCAGATCTCTTTGAAGCAGACACAAGTCCATCCCTTCATGAGAGCATCAAGTCTGACGCCTCCGACTTGTTGTGAAAACCAAATGCTGAGGACCTGAAGAATCCGAGGCTCTAAATCCTGCCTTCTCGCTGCCTCAGCCCCTTAAACTCTCAAAACGTCTTTTTTTGACTGTTGAAGCGTCGCTTTGCGAACAACAACAAGAGCCTGCAGCCCACAAGCCCTGTGTGTGTGTGTGTTTTAGGAATCTCCAAATCCTCGTTAGTGTTGCTATTTGTGGATCCTGGCTGTCGCTATCCTCGCCACCATGGTTGCCATGGGCCACTCCCGCAGTTCCCGCCTGGGTATTTCCCTGTGCTCTCGCCCCAGCTCCCCTGTTATCACTTTTGCAGGCTACCCCAACCATTGAGGATTTAGGATGTAGTTAGGCCAAATCCCTGTTGGTTGCGTGAAGGGTGCTCCCAATCCTCGCCCTCTGGGATCTCCTCCTGGGCAAGCAAACCATTTTTTGATGAGGTTGTAGAGGGCATTGGGGCTAGCTGATGGGCTTGTGAAGGATATTTACCAGGTGTCACCTAGAACCTTCCAAGCTTTCGCACGGATTCTTGAAGGATCAGGCTGAGGGGGATGCATTTGAGACAATGCAGTCCTTTAGGTCGATACAATACAAACATCCTTTCTATGGGCATGCTTGGATCGGCCTTAACCCTAGGACTTGAGGTTTCAAGTTGCAAGGTAAATTTACTCAAGCCTAAGGTCCAGATCTTATGCTTGAAGGTTTCAGAGTTGTGTCTTAGACTTGAGTTCTCGAGTCTAGGATGCCCTTAGCTACCTTGCTCAGATATCCGTTTTGCAAGCTTGGGACCAGGCCCCCTAAAAAAAACACCCCTGCTCTTTTGGGCATGATATAGGAGACCTGGAGACACAAGGGGAACCAGCACTGCGCAGAACGTGACGGAGGACCCTTCCTGATGCTGCCTAAACTGGTAAGGGGACCTACCTGCAGCGATTTGTTGTAACACAACGTGGGATACAGCCGAGAAAGGTAGATATATGAGCTATAGTCTAACTCCTAGTATCCCCCTTAATAACCCCTATAACACTCCCCTATATAACCTTTTTAGGGAGTTTAGACCACAGCTCACATGGATTCCTGGCAAAATGGAGCCTGCTGAAGGTCTAAGCCGCTTAGGTCCATTGGGATCACGGGATTCACTGCCGGGGGGGAATAGCTCCTAGGCGTACTTGAGCACATCGCGTTTGAGTTGCAAGAAGGACACTACCAGGGCTGCAGACTAAGACAAATGAAGGACATTGTTGGCGCATGCTACACTCATGCATCCTGGGATATACAGGCACACACGAAAGCGGTCATGCAATTATGGAGTGTGTGTTCATCATGCTGAAGCTGAGCTCGTACGGATTCTTGGAATGACGGCCAACAAGATGTCTTCTTCTTGAGGTGTGAATGTTCAGAAACATGGCTTCCAAGGTTGGAGATAAGGTTTCATTCGTCCCGCAGACCTTGCGGGCCTTCTATCTAATGAACATCGCCGAACATCTAGCCCTCGCAGTGCCATTCCTCGCAACAGCTTGCAACCAGAGCCCCAAGGACAATGTACTAATGCAAAGCGTTGGAGTTGCTTCTGGCCCCACCACCAAAACCCTTCAAGCGTCTACCTGCCAGGTCGTTTTACAACCTCTGGTAGCCTGGAGGATGGACCTCAATGTTGCTTCTAGTATTGCTACTATTGCTATCATCATTGGTATTACTATTTTGCTTTACTAGGATTATTCCTGCTTTTCAGATGTATGCAAATGCCCTGCACTAGGGACTTTGGCCAACTATCACCTCCCTTTTTAAAACCCAGCTCCTCCACCTTCGTGGGATCGTAGATCCTGCATCTGCTTCAATGTGTTGCGCTGCGCGAAATAGATGGGACCCTTACTTGGGGGGTTCAGGGGGACTTTATAGGGGTTATTAACCTACTCACTAAGTCCCCTTGACCCTCCAAGTAAGGGGTCCTCTCCCAGAGATGTATGACAACATTTGGCCATGATACGGGGGGACCCAAATTCTCAGCAATTCCCTCACGTGTTAGCAGATAGTTTTCAGGTTCCGGGTGTGTGCCCTGGGGGGACAAGTGATGCCCTGTAAGCAGGACAAAACCCTTGAACATGTGCCAAAATTGCAAGCACGTAGCTTTTGGCATGCCTTCCAGCATTGACATCGGAATGCCAACCAGGCCAGAAGCTTCACAACTCAACACCAGTCACCAGCCAACAGTGAGCAACTCTTGGACTGTAGTCCAACGGCTCCTATGACCATGATTTAGAACCACCCTGAGCCCCGCAGCCAGGTCCTGGGCTCCACATTTCCCTTGTGCTGAACAGGGAAAGCAGACTTGTTGTCACCTGCAATTTTGGCACAAGAAGCCGATGTTTAATCTCTGCGGCACAACTCGAGGGGCAATGGGCTAGGACTAGGAGTTGCGGGCTGCATTTGAAGACTTCTGGGTAACAAGGTTCAGGAGGCAATTAACGACCCTATATCTGGGTCTCCCATCGAAGCAACCGGGTTGCTTCGTTCCAGGGTCGCTTTACATGTGCAGATGTACCCTGGAAGAGTTTGCTAAGCTTACTTTGTCAAAGGCATCTGGGTACGGAGTACAAAGCTACACTTCTTACTGTTAGAATTACTATTATTACTATTGTTATTACTGGTATACGTACAATCGGAGGCAAAAGGAGGATTCTGGACCTTGTCTGCGATGTAGCGTTTAGTGTTTAAGGTTGCCATTGCTGGCGATGGCCAGGCTCCGCAGAACCGGAAGTACTATTCCAAGCAAATCTACACCTACATGTGCCTGGGCCTGGGCCATACAACATGCCCAAGAAAATCAGAGGTCATCCCAAGGAGTCTGAGCCGCTACTACTACTACTACTACAACTACTACTACTACTACTATTACTGCTGCTGCTGCTACTACTACGACGACGATGACGACGATGACTATGATGAATATTTCGAACACAATTTCCTATTACAAGTATTATTGCTGCTGATATTTGCTTTAATATCATTAGTACTATTGTTAATGTTGCTATTGTTAAGAATGCCGGAGCCACCAGAGACCGGCTTGCCCACCACCCAACTCTGCCTGAGTCTGTCGAAACTCTGCACTGGCGCTGCTTTTCTTGGATACCAGACGTGTCAAACGTGGCAAACAGTGTAGTAGTATATATCTGTACCATCAGAATTACTCGCTTCAAAAGACGCGCGCATGCCAAAACTGCTTGTCGTCAAGCTGTGATTGCCGATGCCTCAATGAACCATGGCACACACACCCTGTATGTATCGTCGCTTCATGAGCACTTGAGATGAAGCACTAGTTGGGGACTGGAATTCTGGCCAACCCCCACGAGCAAAAAAACACTCTCCGCCTTAGACGTCCATCACGGCTGAAAATCGTATCTCCAGAAGTGAAGTCAGCTCCATGAATAAACTTTTGATGGTAATCCGTATCATGCTCCGTGGCATGCCCTGAACTAACCCTACACACATGGAAGCCTGCTCCAGTGACATATTACTATCCCTTGTTATGAATATGACTGTTATTGTCATTACTATTGATATTCTTATTCTTTCTATAAATACCATCATCATTGCTACTGTCATTATCACTATGACTATTCTTACCGTGACGATTACTATTGCTTTTACCATTGCAGCCAAGAGTGCAGTGGATCTTTGGACTCCTCCTCCATCATGGTCTTCAAGGAGCTGTTCACGCCCCCCACAGACATCATCAGGGAGCCTGCCATCTTCACCAGCTTCCTGAGATGAGGGAAGAGGTGTTGGTGGGTAAAACTCCCTCAGCCCTAAACCCTGAACCCCTAAACCGCGAACCAGAAGCCTCTAAACATTAATGCTTTATGGTGTAAGGTTTAGGAGTTTAAGGCTCTTGCCGCTACATCTAGGAAGGCTTTTAATAACAGAATCGGGTCTCGCTTTGGGATCCGGCGCATGCCTTAGATGGACCCCCCAACCTGTAAAAGTGGCTATAGTAGGGGATAATGGTGATTAAACTTGGGTCCTCTTACGTTCCTATTATACTAGTATTAATTACAGGGTGAGGGATCCACCTAATGCATGCTGTATTTTAGTGGCTTGCAGCATGGGCCGTCTCAACACGAGGAATGTATATGCATGTTCAATGAGAATTTTGAAGGGGGGGGGAACTATTCCTCTCTGCGATCTTGCGCGCCCTCTCGCATGCCAAGCTCTAAGCGGCTAGGACCTGAGTGGGTAATTTCTGCCTCTCAACCAAAGAAAGCAAATTGAGGGTGCTACTTTTGTTTTTTTTACCATCATGTCGACTCTTTTCGTGTGTGGCATATTGCTCAGGGGTCTCCTTGGGGTTTAAGGTTTTGATCTTTGTGCTATCTTGCATGGATCGAGATTACATTGCCCAGAATGGCGCTATGCCTGAAGGGAGTCGAAAAGGATTGAGGATTTGTACGTAGTTTAGGACATCCTCGGTTTCATTTTCAGGGTGCTTGCTGGCTGCCCAGGTCTTATCCAGCTGAAACATTTCCCGCTCAACACAGCTGAATTCCACCACCTCAGGTCGGTCTGCCAGGAAATTGAATCGAAGGAACAAACCATTTCCAAGAAGCATAAGTGGGGGTTAGTGTAAGAAGGCGATGCGCGATCAAAAATCACCCTAGTTCTAGAGATTCTGGGCTAGATTGTGCTCCAGTCGATCTGCATACGCATGCTTTCCCTAAGATGAAAATGGAGCCAACAACCTGCCAGACGCAGGTAATTACCCAAGCCCAACATTTGCTTACATCCACAATGGGTTTCTCGATATATATGTCTATACGTATATGTACAACTTGTACCCACCTACCGTCTTGAAGCCGAAGCAGTTAACCATCAGTTCCAAATGATCGTCGGATAAGGCAACATATTTGAGGCAAGCCTCTCTGTCTTGATGTCTTTGTCTGACTGGATCTCCATCTGTTTTGCTGTATCTTTGAAGAGCAAGCCGAGCTGGTATTCCGGGATGCTGGGGAAGACTTCCTGCGGAGAATTTGGGCCTGCTTGAGCTTTAGGGGCTATGGCTCTTGCATTCGGTTTTCTGGGTTAAGGCCTGCTGAGATGACCGAGACCGTTCGCAAAGCGGTCTCCTTGCCAGGCCGCGCGCGGGCAAAATTTGCGCTCCCGCCCCTGTACACTAGGCTGGAGGGTGTTTGCCCTCCAACCCCTCATCAACCATGTTCTTGAGTCAAGTATGTTGAAGTGCTTCATGCTTTATGTTTCAGATGCATTCTGCCCACCACTTAAGACCAGCTTGCGAGCGTGCAACGGCGCAAGAGATTGTGTACGCGAAGGCCAGGTACTGTAGGGGCCTACATGATTACATTACATATGAGTTATAGTCTAAACTCCTAAAAGGGGTTATATAGGGGATGATATAGGGGAGCATTATAGGTTTTATTAAGGGGGATATTACACCAATCTCATGGTGCTAGCTTCCTTGGCTAATTCTGGCACAGGGTACCGCAAATGGACCTCAAAAAAGACGTTGGTGATTATTAAAACCCTGCTGCACGCCGTCTGGCGGAGTGCTTCTTTGGAAGGTGCCGCCACCAAGGGTCACGAAACAAAAACGCGTGTGTGGGTGATAACAGGGTGGGGCAGGAAAGGGATTGGGACCATTTGCTTGGGGCAAGTCATAGGATTGCTTTGAGCAGGCAGCACCCTCTGCAACTCCTTCATGCCTGAATATGTGGGCAGGCTCACTTGCTGAGGTTCCACTGTTGTGAGTGCAGCGGGAAGGGTGTGAGGTTGATTAACAGATGAATACAAATAGCAAGAGTTTTGAGCCTTTTGGTCACTTGCAAGATTTGTCCAAGAGGTTTAAGGCTCACTAAGGCCTGGCACCGGAGATCCTGCATAAAGCAGATGAGAATCCAGCAAAAGCTGCTGGCAAAGAACAGGACTCAAGACACAAAGTCCACATATTCGCTGCACCTAAAACGTCCAACCTGCCTCCAACAAGAAGACTCCACGCAAGAATAGGGATGGCAGCAGTAATGATTGCAATCAGAACCAGAAGATCTCATCTTCAAGGTAAAGTAAGCCAAGCAGGTATAACTTACATTGCAACAGGAAAGGCCCTTGCTCCTTCAGGTAGTCCGGCTCGAGGAGATCCGGATGGTAAGGCTCGCTACATTTCCTGCCACGGAAGTCCAAGAAATAGGATGGATTTGAGAGTTTGCACCACATGGGGTCCGGGCTTTGTGAGGTGGGCTGCGCTGTTCAGGGTAAAGGGTTGCATTCCTGGTTTGGGGGCACTGTTCGGCGCTGTTGGCATTGACATATTGCCATGTATTTCATCGCTCCACTTTTCAAAAAAAGGGAGGTAGTCCCGAAACTCACGCGCGCCATGGACGGTTCACAGACATAGGCTGCCAGTTCTACTTGCACATTGGCCTAGACAGCTGCAGGGGGGGGCATTGGGCTGCATGATGCAATAAACAATGCTTCCAAAATGAGGACGAGGATACAGTTGCTACTTGAGATGCCCACCTTTGCGCAGATCCAGACCCTTGGACCGCTCCATTGATGTATCATGTGGGGGGTTCAGGGTCTATAGGCTTTTTGGGTTTAGGGTCTATAGGCTTTAAAAGGTTTAGGGTATAAGGGGGTATCATCAACACGCCCCCAGCCCAGCGCACGGGGAATGCTGAGCTTTACAAGCCTCAAAGCAAGCAAGAGTAGTATAAAAAAAAAGGCAGTCCAAATTGAGGTCCCTTGTTGGGTGCCCTCGTTAGATAGCCCGCGACATCATTTTCAACAAGCTACATTCCGGGTGAGCCAGCTGGTGGCATATTCGCATGCAGCATGCAGGAGGATGCTTCAACTGTAAGTACTCCCCTCAGACTCAGGCCTATAATGAAACCGATGTGTTTAGTAGTTCCCTGGGGCTATACTAGAATGCCAAGAACGAGTTCGCCCGGGTTATTATTATACTACAGCAAAAATTCCTAAGGGGATAGGGGTCAACCCTGAACATCGCCTCTGGCCGGCTTTGCATTTAAGCTCGTGTTTAGGGCTCACGGCTTCAGGATCAGAGTGAGCGTATGACTAAAAACTACAAGTCCAGTATACGTATACCGTAGAAGCTCAACATGCAGAGCCTGGCATTTGCAAACTCACATACGCCTTAGAATCAACATGTGGAAAGACCCAACCCAACTACTGGCGCTACAGTATCTGGTAAAACGCTCTTTTGGCAGCGTCGATGCAAAGAATCCAGACATTGAATATGGCGAAGTTGCCCATGCCCCCCACTCTACAAGGAAGAGTATGTTCGCTGCCGACGTCCTCACGATCTTCTGCTCATTGACCCAGCTCCTGCTTGTACCAAATCGCTGCGAACAAGGCTCATATCTTTGGGCCGATGCAGCTTTTATACTGTTGTCACTACTGCTGCTGCTACTGCTTCTGCAGCAGCCACCCCCCAACGCCGCCACTACTGCTGCCAATCACTGCGGCTACTTCTTCTGATGCTACGTGTACGTTGTACGACGAGTACGCTGTCAGTTGAACACTTGCACAGGACCCAACCTGTGGCAAACTCAGCTGAGGTGCAATGCAATACACGTCACATTTCACTGGACGTATTGCGTGCTCAGAAATAGAACGCACAAGGCAGCGGTGCATGGAGGGATCTACAAATGAAGACTTGAATCGCAGTCAGTCGAGTTGAGAACTAGACGCGAAGCGTTACTTCTGAAAAAAATCCCGATTGGTGGCGAAAGTGCAGATGATAATGTTGCGGGGCCCTCAGAACTTGGGGATGTTTCATGGTTGACGGATAATGGGCTGAGAGGTGTGAAGAGTTGCACACGGATAATGGGCTGAGAGGTGTGGAGAGTTGCACACGGATAATGGGCTGTGAGGTGTGAAGAGTCGCACACTCTCAAGAGTGGAGTCCGACGAGAAGTCCTCCTTACTCGCTTGCTCTGAAATTTTGAAACTAATTAATTATAGTGGCTGAGGGTAGCTGGACTGCGTCTTGTCCTGTAAGCCACATGAGATGACGGAACTACCCTCAAGGATGTAGCGTTTGATGGGTGGAGCTACCTTCTAGTACCACCAGCCTCTCTTGAAGAGCATGGCGCAAACCTGTACTTGATACAGAGTCTCGTTGTTCAAGCAGGGTGGCATGCCGCCAAACCTCTCTGTTGGATGGAGCAGAATAGAGCAGTAAAGCCCTCCCGAATCTGCATGTAGTCATTGCTTCCTACCTGGCTTCTGGGTCATGAAAACAAATTCTTAACACCGGGAAGTAGGGGGAGAACAAGGTCAAAGAGTGAGCAGCACGGTGCAGGACGACTCCTCATCGAGATCAGCCGGTTCCAGAACTGGTACAAGGTGTTCCAGACCTCACAGCACAGCAACTAAAAAGGACTCAATAGTGAGCGGTAAACAAGGGAATTGAAATAACATGGAATCTCCTACAGCTTTGTGTTAAGGATTTAGGGTTTTGGGGTTTGGGGACGCTTCCAGACCTCGGAGCACAGCAACTATATGTGTGGAGGTTTCACATATACACATAATTGCCAGGGACTAATTATCGCGGAATGATGAAGAAAACAAACTGGAAATGAGTATTTGGAGTTTAGGGTTTAAGGTTCAGGGTTTAGGGTTATAACCCCCCAGATCTAAAGGAAATTTTGAATTGAAGGCTGAGCGAGCGGGCTCTGCTCCTTGCGAGCGGTGATCAAAAGGAAAAGAACATGGAAAATGAAAAGAAGCTGGGATGGCATTCGGGGGTTGGAGCTACCCAAAAAGATGGTTACCATTTTGGCGAATTTTGGCATTTTCCTGCGATGTCTGCTGGGAGACTATCCTTTTTGCAAACCCTGGGAGCCCGTGGAGTTGACACCTGACTTGTTTGTTTTGTCCTACTGCGCATGGCAAAAACTGACTGGTGTTTCTGTCTTGGGGGACGAAAATATCCCGATTTACCCCAAACCCAAAACCCTAAATCCTAAACCCTGAACATAACTGGATCAAACATGTAAAGGGCTGCATCACCACTGGGCCCCGGACCGCTTCCTTGGAATCCTGATTCCGCTGCACCTCCTGGAAAAGTGTTTTGGGTTCAGGGTTTAGTGCGATCATGATTGCTAGTACTTCCGATTGTCATTATTGCTGTTTGATATTTTCAGTATTGTTATCATTCTTGCTGGTATTATTGTGAATACTATTGTTTCTATTTTTGACATTATGACTATTTGAAGCCCTTCGTGCGTTGTGATTACTCTTTCATTTCTAGCATCATTGTTGGTATCTCCGGAAAGCAGTGCTGCTACTTCCATAGATTTGCCATTCAGAATCAAAGGGAAAAGAATTCTGAACATGAAATGCAAAAATGAATGAAAACTAGGCGTATATAGGACGTTTGTTAGTTCATGACCCCTGAAAGTTCAAAGGATGTTTACGCGACATTTCTGGTAATCAGGATAGTGGCCAACCATGGCATATCCAGTGACCAGGCACGGCCTACAAGGCCCCCTAGACAAACTAGCAACCTGGATTACCAATGCGATCCACTTCCATCAAAACCTCTTAATGACATAGAACGTCAACTGCGTTTCCCATATCAAAGCTTGATTCCAAATATTCAGACGTCTGTATTGGACTGAAAGGCACTGCGAGTTGCGACCTACTCTTTCCGGGAACCAGGCATCGATTTCAAGAACTCCTCAAATATGTCTTTTTCTTACTCTTACTTTTCCAGAGCTAGACTCCAGTAGCGTCTCACTCAAGCTCAGATTCAAGCGCAAAGTCCTATCCACAGCATGTTTAACCTCAGGGTGAAGTCCTTGTAGGTGTCCAAGATAATGGCAATCAGCAGGTTGATCAGAAGCATATTCACGAACACCTACAGCCGGGTTTCGTGCCAGATTTGGAGGTCTGCATTGCGGATCAGCAGGACTCTGGGATCTGAGCTTCCTGATTGCTAAGGGACTTCCAGGTTCGTCCCCTTTAGATGCTTGGGACAATGAGATGTCAAGCGCATGGATCAAATATGAAGTCCGCACAATGAATAAAGGGCATATGATGCTAGCTCGCTGATGCAAGCGCGTGTGTGCTGGTCGTATCTTGTAAGACGTTTACAAGACGTACAGAGAAAATGGCATCCCAAAACATGATGGCGGATCCTAGATAGTCTGCGAGGTTGCAGAGTTGAGAGGATAGTCTCCCAGGGTCTACCGGGGCTCCTGCACAACGTCTACAACCAATGCTCGGGGACATGAAGCCAGACCGCATGCCAAGCGAATATGACTCCAGACAGATTCTCGTTTTGACGATTAACCGTCATCTGTGCGGAACCCAGTTGAACCCTCTGGACGACATACAGGAATCTCTGGTACAAAATCGGTCCTGCCCCAGACTGCAATCCAGTATGTACATGAAGCTACTCAGCCAGTCTGGCTCAAATTCCGAACTGTGTTGATCTTAGTCTACCCCTGGGGCGCGGTGTCTCAAATAAAGCTTCCACTACCTTAAGACGTGGACCCCAGGGAGGAGAGAGGGATGTGAGTCAGCTTGACCACACTGCACGGACAGACCCATAGAGTTTAGTGCATCCGGCATCTGCATTTCACACTCAGGACTTGGAACCCTCAGTCCAGCTCGCTATTGGCGGGCCGCATGCATACGTCTTGTTAAGGCTGTGAACCCTTCGTCCTATGGGCAATTTCTTGAGCGTACGGAGCAGTCTTGAACCCAGGCACCACGAAGGACCACACCCAAATAGCAGATGACCAGTAGTTCTCTTCCTGGCAGCAAAGAGCACCAGGATCGAATCTCAAGGGGGTCTGAACCCTTGAAGCCTCAAACTGAGGTTGCGGTAGGTTTGCGGCCGGGCAGGATATGTTACTAGGAGGTCTAGAGTATAGAGGTCATTGGTACGTCACCACTGCAGCCGCTCCTCCTCCTCCTCCTCGTCTGTGCGTTCGGGCGCAGGGTGCATTGAAAGGCCCCAAACCTAGAACCTCCAGCGAGGACCCTCAGAGGCTTCCTCTTAAACCCAAAAAAGAGCTTGCCAGCATAACTCGCAGGCCTGAAGTTTGAGCTCATGCAAAAATTCAGGGTCATCCGGCACAACTTCCAATAGGTGAGCAAGGCCTCAGAAAAAGACTCTCGACTTTCGGAGGCTACCATCCGTACAGGTGCGAACATTCTGCGTTTCAGCTGAGACTTCGTCTAGCTATAGAACCCCATCGGCATGTTGTGATTTCTTGGGGCCTGAAAAGGTACGGAGAGGGCAGGCAAGAGGTCCCCATAAAGCCTACAACTTCAAGGATTGCGCGCGGTGGCCTTCTATAACTTCCGTGCTTTTGTTTATGCAGCATGCTTGCTGCCATGGTTTCAGCTATTCTCCTGACGATTGTCACTTTTGACTTTGGTTGGTCTCAACGTAGCAGACACTATATGCTCCCCATGGTATTCTCATCAGTCATATCCGAGTGCATTCCTGTGTACTCTAAGCAGTAGGGGTGGCCGAGACCGTCCTGCATAGTCTCCCAGTCGAACTCACCCTCCTGGGCCATGCGGAAAATGTAACCTGAGTCGCCCAAGTGAATGACTGCTGAACATTGGGACTCTTGAAGGCTTTCGTGATTTGAGGTGATTAGTGTGTTGGAGCTTCAGGTGTCTGCAGCTATCAAGGTTCTGTTGATTTGTTTGTTCTTATTGAATGCTCTATGTTTCCAGATCTCAAGCGATTTGCAACAGCAATGTAGGAGTTTCTTATGGGGACTGTACGGTGAATTTGGAATCCTTGCTGAGGATTCCGTTAGGACTATTGTGTGAAATACCCATCTAAGATGCCAACGGAATGTCAGCACCGGTTGGGGGGAGGTTGAACACACAGGAGCTGAGCATAAAGGCATCTTCACATCCCTCTTTACCTTCCCAACATCCAAATGGAGGAAGAGCATAATAATAGTAGTTTCTCGAAATAGGGGGATCCCAATATAGACCCCAAAAATACTATAGCCCTTATTATGGGGACCCCCCAACAATGGTACCCCTAATTTTGGGAAACCCGCAGTTTCCAAAATTCAGGATCCATCTGTACACCTGCAAGGATCCCGAACGCGGACCTAGGATCTTGCGCTCACCTATTTAGTGGTATCATTGGGATATGATGGGGTAATATAGGGTTAAATCAACAAAATGGAAACTACTATATAGGGATGATATAGGGATAATGGAAAAGACAATGGAAACTACTATATAGTATGTTGGGGTTAAGCTCGGCAACCCATGTAATTCCATGGGCTGAGCCTTGGAAATGTGAACTGAATCCTGTAGGGTTTAGGGTTTAGGGATTACTGCAGTTGAAATGCAGGACTAATAGCATCTCGCAGGGGACACATGTAGTTTCCATACATAGGGGGGGGGGACCCTAATTATAGACCCTAATATACTACAGGTATAAGTCTTATTATTGGGACCCCCCAATAAGGTACCCCAAATTTTGGGAAACCCCATATATTGCTCTGAGTAATTTCCTGGAGATCTCCTGTTTCTCAAGAAGTCTGGCATGCATCCCATCATGCACTCTGGGCCGGGTTGCTGCTGAGGAATTTCAGTTGAATTACCGTATACTATGGGCCATAGGTATATGGTAGATACGGTAAAAAATAACCATAATATGGGTATATGGTCACTAATAGGGTTGCCTTATTGTAGTTTTATCTTCCTCAACAGCAACCCAGTTAGGGCTGCATGTAAAATCCAAACGCTTTTTAGAGTTCCAACAGCAATGGCTGTCCTTGAGGCCTTACGGGTCATGCTGTTGTTCTGCAATGCTGCCAGCGCACCCAGCGAGCCTCCGAACGTGCACACATCCTGCACGGGAATACATACACTTCCATGGATCTGGGCCTTTCGATTTGAGAATACGGAACGCTGCTAGGCTTCAGGGAAACAAAATTATATCTGCTGTCATTCCTTTCAGGAGTCTTACAGGTTGAGTAGCACTTGTCATGAGGCGCCTTCTTGAGAAAAAAAACTGAGAAACCATCTCTCATGCATGTTTGAGTAGATCCGATTTCTGCAGCCCAAACCAGTCATAAGGGTGGCTCCAAAGCCCCGTAGTTGTAATATCTGCGGGCTAGGAAAAGACACACTGCCTGCCAATCCGTTCAACAGGAAATGAACAACCTACACCAGATCATGGGTCGTGCCTTAAGAAGGTGCCACCCATGATCTTGTGTAGGTTGATTAATACAGACCTAGGGTCATTTATGAATAGGTTCTGCTGTACAGCGCTAGAAACACATAAAGTCTTCTGCTTAATGACTTCCATGAAGCGGCGGTGGAGAAGACCCCCGTACTGGGAGCAGCTTGTCAGAAAGAACGCCGAAATCCTGGAAGCCCTATCAGAGCCAAGAACCCAACAATTCAGCTCCAAACCCTGCCCTCGACACATGCAGCTTTCCGGATTCCTCAATCTGGCGCCCGAACAGCAAGGTGGCGCTGGTCCTGACAAAGGCATCCACTCATTTGCACATCAGCGAGGATCGTCTTTGCTTTCAACAATGCAGGGAACCACTTTGGTTTTAGAGGATTGTGAGGTACCCATCCGGGTTCGTTCACGAAGCAATTCCTTTGAGAGCTCATGTATGTGCAAAATGCTTTCTACAGGGGATGCTCCGCAAATGCTCATCAGCATCCTATTCTGTGAGCCTCTCTACTCCGAAGCCCTCAGCTGCCGGATTGCTATCCGAAATTCGCTACGCTACCCGCACACATTTCCAACGAGGCCACCTATTCGGAAAATCTGTTCCACTACTCCAGTGGTAGCTAGGCCACGATACCGATGTTCCGGACTCCAAGAGTTATAACTGTACAGCCCTCTGCTAATGGGTTTCCAAGAGAATGCCGAAATCAAACTGTGAAAAAATATCATCCAGGGGACAGAACTGCAAGAGCTCGCAAAGGCTTAGGGTAAAGGGTTCAGCACAGAATCAGGTCTGAGAGGTTCGCTGTCTTCCGTTCCCTACTCTGCCATGCGACCGAATATCCGGACAAGCACTTGCAATGTGGATTTCCAAAAGAATTGAGGCACTGACTCTGGGCATGCCGTTCAAATTTCAACCCCCAAACACCCAAAGCAGAAATCGAACCTCCCCCCTTGTTATTTCTTGGGGGCGGAGCTTTAGCCCTGAACCCTAAACTAGCTACATGTAGCCTAGGGCCCTGGCACGTAGATCAGGAAGGCAGGAATGAAGACCACTATGAAGTGGATGATCTCCTGGGTGTGGAGGTTCAGGAGTTTAGGGGTTTAATGTTAAGGGCTTTGGATTTAGGGTTTAGAGGGCTTCAGGGTTTGAGGTTTAGGGATTCAGGGGGTTCGGGTTTGGGCGTTCGCGACTTAGTCTGGCGTTTGAGGGGTTGGGTGCGGGTTGTGAATACGATGGTCACATGACCTGGATGGCACTCAAATGCCCCCTGCGTTTGAAATCTAATCGAGGGGCCACGACAAGAATAAGAGCCCAGGCTATAAACCCTGAATGGCCTGAATGGCAGGCCTCATCCAAAATGCTCTCCTGCGAATGTCAAATCCTAAATCCCACGGCCCACATCTTCATCCGTAAAGTCCCGCCAACACCTCAATGGTTTACTTGTGGTCTCCCCAATTGGGCACCCAATATATAGACTCACCAAGTTTCGTAAGGAAATCCATATCCACACACCAAAAAACGGAATCGACATTACCTTGTTGTAACTTGCACCTTGACATCTCATTTTCTGGGTTGCTGTTAAGAAACTTACATCAAGTTACTAGACTAAGGAAACCCCGTTATTGACTACATACCCACTTTATGGTAACCCAATCTAGGTTCCTTCACAGCAAGCCCAAGGGGCCACAATGAGCGCCCCTAAGGTCTTCGTGATAATTGCCAGCTGTGGCTGGGCTCGGAAGTTCGCGAAGAAGCGGAAACTCGGTTTGGGAGTCAGGGGGTTGCCGTAATGGAGGGTAGTAGGAAATCAGGGAATATAGCATTTAGGGGTTATAAAGGGATTGTACTCTCTTATTCCCTACTACGCGCCAGTAAGTTCTTGAGAGGTTTAGGGTATGAGGGTTTGGGGTGTCAGCTTAGGAGCTCATAGAACCTTTTTCACATGAATAGCCGAGCCTCAAGTAAAGGATCCAGTGGTGTGATGTATACTTTTGCTACACGAAAGTCTTTCGTTGGGACACATAACTCGCAACGAGACCGTCGTGAGTCATTTGCAGGGTTCACAGTTTAGGGCTGCGGTTGTAGGTATAAAGACTGGACGGTTTCAGGTCAAGGCACTGGATGCTTTGGGTTGATAGGTTGAGAGCCTCGGCTTTGGTGTTCCGGTTAGTAACACTAAGAATAATACCGCGTGATAATATGACTAGTAAAAAGATATTAGGCATCGCAATAATGATGGCATTCTGAGTTTTCACTTCCCTGAGAACAGGAACGTTGTCAAAACTGCCCGTCAAAACATGAACATGGCCACCATCAGTTCGATGGCATTGATGGCACTAGGAAGGTGCTACCTACTTCACAAATGGAAAATAAGAATGATTATCATCGTCACTCTAACCGCCACGAAAAACCGTGAACATGATACCAGTGGCAAGGAAAGATCGTCGTAATGAAAATGAGCACGCAATAATAACAATCTGCCAATCAGTCTGAGATCAATACCATACTTTTGAGGCTCCAGACGGATGGCAGCGCTGCCCAAATAATAGCATCAATAGGAAGTGTGACATCACGGATGTCCACGTGTTCACAACACCACAAGAAGGCTAACTCTGCAATAACAAAATGCGATTCATTGCAAAACTAACATCGCGCACCCTTCCCAGCATGCGCTGCCGCGGTGCGTGAGGATCAAGGTGTAGTTGGCCGCCAGCAGACGGAGGCTGAGGATGTCTTCGGCGGCAGCTTCACCTGAGTCAACTCCCAGATGGATTTGAGGCTTCTGAGGCTGAGGGTTTAGGGTTTAGGGGTTGGATTTCATATGGCTACGTATATGGAATGCTGGTGGGGTGTTGGGGAGCCTACAAAGGGGTGTGGGAGAATTCTTGAAGAATTGAACTGGGTTATGGCAGATCTTCATCAGGTCCTATCTGAGCCCGCCGCTGATGTCAAAGAGCTGCTCCAGCACCTTAGCCAACACACATACACATGCCATGAGTAGCGATGATTGGGTAAGGCCGAGCAGAAACCATTCATACTTGCTTCTGCACCACGGAACATATGGATCCCCGAATAGGGCAACAAACACGTGGGGTCACTCTCCAAGGGGATCCTCCGACAACCCAAAGGGCAAAGGGCAAGGACTGCCGAGGGAAACAAACCACGGGAATCGGACCGCACTCGGTGAAAGAGTTTCCTATGATGTGACAGTCCAACAGCCGCTTCCGTTACGGAGAGGCAAACCTGGTATACGTAAACGTGCTCCGCTCGAAGTTCACATAAGTAGTTCATACGATGCTGGTACTATCCTTCGTTCTTGCTATTCTCAGGGTTCCTCTGGCCAAACCACAACCTGGGAGACGTTATGATTGAAGTCTGAGGAATTAGGGTAAGGGGTAAAAACGGCAGGTATGAGGAGGAAGATTTACAAGACTAGTCCACGCCACCTTCAGCGTAGAGCCGAATCTATCAAACCTCTGGCAATGTACCAGAAATATGCATTCTATCGAGTTCAGGCTTAGAGCAGAATCACAATAATAAGAATGACCACTCCATCCCGCCCTCATGAAAGCATGAGGCCCCAGACCTCAAACCCTCCCAAGTTGATCTAAACTTCTGCACTCAACCCATCCAGTCTCAAATGGTGAGTCCGCAAGACGCAAGAATCCCTCGTATAATCGTTGTCGTTCCATGTTCTTTTCCATTACCCCCTATATTACCCCATTATAACCCTCATATATACCCTTATGTGGTAGCTTCCATTTCAATTTCCATTATCCCTATAATATCTCAGCCATGGAGCAGGCTGGAAGTCGTCGTGGATATCCCACCCCCTGGCCCGGACCTCGTTCACGATGTCCGTGGTCCTCTCCTGGTAACCAACAGCTTCGTGGGTGTAAGTTGCAAAGTGGCGATCTCCTGACTTTAAGGCAGTACCTGGAGGGTCAAGGGGACTTAGTAAGTAGGTGAATAATAAGGATTGGTAGGGTTACCATATGGTTTATAGGGACTGGTAACGTACTTACTAATTCCCCGTGACCTTCCAGCTATGGGTCCTCTGGGATGTGAACTGAAACCCTAATGTAGCAGCCTCACTGGTTACCAACATCGTTTTGAGATCTGTCGGAGGCACCCCATGCCCGCATGACATAAGACATCAGGAACCGAGGATCATAGAATAGGCAATCACCTCTACGCACCTCCTCAATTTCCATTTAACTGTCTATGTTTTTGTCCATTTGATTCTTGTTTGTTGGGGTGTTATCCCAAAGCCCTATGTCATTCCCATATAGTCCCTCCTTAATCCTGTAAAGACTGCAAAATCCTTCGAACTCCTGTATACCCTAAACCCTAAACCCTAAAACCCTAAGCCCTAAACCCTAAACCCTAAACCCTATACCCTAAAACCCTCAACCCCCATAACCTGCCACCCTTCGACGCCAGTCCTTTGTCTGGTAGACAGCGTAGAACTGGTAGCCTGAGCATTATTTGGGTTTCGGATTTAGGGTGTAGGGTATAGGGGTTAGGATTTAGGGTATAGGGTTTGGGGTATAAGGAGGAGGATTTTTCTCGGTTACGTCACCACCACCCCTCTACTGGATTCCCCCTGGCCCCTAGACCTATACCAGAAATGGAAGCCTTAGGGCTATACTATACTAAACTGAAAAGTAATTCTGAAGAGATAGGAGTCTATACCACCCATGCTAGGTTCCCCCTTCATCAGGCTCATTTAGGGTTAACTCATGTTAGTTCAGGGGAACCTGGGGGGGGATAGTATGGGGGTGGCATGGTTAAGAGAACCCATAAGTCTAGGGAGTGATTGACCCATCAAAACAGACAGCCCCAAAAGCGGTGTAGGATTTAGGGTTTAGGGGCTAGCAGCAAAACAGCAACAGCTTCAGAGGGGTTCTTCCAACAATGAACTGCCCTGAACCCTACCTGTAACCACAAGTACCCACAGCTTGATGGGTTCCAGCTAATAGTTACTTGTGGCGTAATCACTATCACACTGAAAGTACAGATAGCCATAAGCCAGCTTGCCGACGCTAAAGGGCATAGTTTGCAGTCAGCGCGCAGAAGTAGAGACCGATTATGATCACCACGACTTCAAGGAGAGACCTGCCGGAGGCTTTTTGATCTCTGGAGTACGGTGAATTAGCTGAGAGAAGCCTGTATTCTGGCGATTTCATGCAAGCACTTCCAGGTTGATAGACATGAGTCTCATGATGAGGCACTCGGATCTTGGCAGGAAGCTTTACGGTCAAAGTCCGCAAGCCTGGCCGGGACACGAAAGCTCAAGGCCTAAAAGCAGCGGGAACAGATCCTATAGGGGACCCATACACCCTACGCTGCTCTTGTTCAAGGTTTTAAAGCCGCGACCCTACTGATCCTTCTCTCCCCATGGGGCTTTCCACATCATCTCTTACGTGAAGGAGGCAATATGCTATCAGCCGTCCCGTCCTATCGGAGATGCTACGAGATACCCTGGGGGACTATCAATATTGTTTTGCACCCTGGACCTTACAGCCCGTGAACATGTGAGGTTCTCAAGGACTTATATAAACCCTCGTGAAGGAGGTACCTCCACTTGTGTGCACTGATCCCTTTTTGAAAGGGAAAACGCGCGGAAGGAAATCTGAAAGTCTCGAAAGCACTGAGACAATGAAACAGCTCCCTTCCCAGACTCCCCAAAAGCGCCTGATGTCCTTGAGGTATGACATCAATCTCTTGTCGCGGATGACCCGCCAGAGCACGACGACCTGCAGTGCGCCTCGGACGCTGCGCTGGGCTTCAGGAGCGATTTCGGGTTCAGGGTTTAAAGTTTAGGGTCTTGCAACACTTACCTTCCCCTATACTAATATAATCTAGATGGGGCACTAGATAGCCCACCTTTAAAAGGGCGGCAGCCTCGATTTGTTTTTTTTGGTGGGGCCCCATGCTGGTTGGAGGCGAGGTCATCCTGAGGCTTTCAGCGGCTATGCCCTAGCTTGAGGTGTCTTCGCAGGGACGGCCCCAGAAAGCCGACACCCTAAACTCCAAGTTCCCCGGAAATCTGGTAGAAGTCACAACTTCAGCTGGTTATAAAGATCATGGATCCAGAAGTAAAAACGGTGAACTTAAAATCCTGAGAACCTCGAACTCAAATCCCCGAATGGCAACAGACTGCCATTTTCGACAGGCTCCCTTTTTTAATAGTAGTGCTAGTCCCCACATGGGTGGTTACGAGTAGGGTCATAAGTTATAATCGCGGTTGTAAGTTATGATTACAGCCAATTTACTCGTCTCGATTTCTCCTACACAACGCACGAACTACTCCAATTCACTATACACGTCTCTACATCCCTAGATAACCTCTACAGAAACCCTTGTTAGCTCCACATGTCACCGCTTATGAATGTCAAAGTCTTCCCCGCAAGAAGCCTCAAAGAAGAAAGGCCTGCACGGGCTCCGTCAACTTGGCACCAATTCCCAAGAAGGTTCTGGCTTTACGATTAGGACCTTAACGCCCTCGACAGCCTACGACGTCCAAAAAAAAACCTTGCAACCATCTCCAGAAATCCCCATCCAATCCTAGCCGAAGCTCCTGCAAAACCAGGATAATGAGGTTAAAAGGTGTTTGAAATTTGATCACCGCTACTACTAGTGCTATTACCCTCTTAAGCAGAAGCCTCGATAACGCCTCGAAACACAACCTGGGCCCCTCAATATTATGGGCCTGATCATGTGAGCTATAATCTAAACTCCTACTATCCCCCTTAATAATGGAGAATCAAATGGAAAAGAAAATGGAAAATGAAATGGAAACTGCTATATATAGGGTTATGTATTGGATTATAGGGATTATAGTCTAAGCTCCTAGCATCCCCCTGAATAAGCCCTATAGATCCCCTATATGACCCACTTTAAGGAATCTAGACTCTAACTCATGTGGGATTTCCCACAAGTTGCAGGGGTGAGGGTTCAGGGCTTAGGGTTTAGGACTTGAAGTTTCAGGATGTTCAGGGTTTAGGGGGATCCTCCCCCCGATAACGGAGAATCAAATGGAAAAGCAAACGGAATATGAAGTGGAAACTGGGATTATACAGTCGTTCATGCGGATTGGGTATGATAAGGACTATTAGCATTCTGGGGTCTATCTTGAGGTCGAACCTACCATGTCATAATTGCTATCACGTACTTCGTGGGCTGCGCGTAACATCAGTACAAAGAGTCGAAAAAATCCAACTAGTAGTTTTAGTTGCCTCAAACCACCACTGAAGTGGCAGAGGCCGGCACCGGTGAAAACGAAAACGCAGAAGAAGAGGCCGTCAGAAACCTTGGGTATGTAGGTCTGGTCTGGGATGCGAGGCATGAGTGATGGCTTCGCGCTTAAGTTCACTGACCCGGATACGTACATCTGTTGAATTGATTGCCCACACTGTCCTGCCCTTCTTGCCTTGCTGGGTCTCAATTACTTTGGATGCATCTACCTGTACAAGTATCTTCTTTGGTCCTCCCAGAGCTGCAGGAGTCGAGAAAAAACAGATGAGAAGCAGTTCACAATGGAAACGGAGCGCAGTTCAGGCACTGAACCAGCACAGCCTGTGTCTTGGGGACTGAGGATGACGCTTCAGCTGCCGCCTCTGCCCTCCAAAGCCACGAATACATCTCACAGTAATAAGAACACTAAAGAGCAGACATGGATGCTCAGAAGAAATTTGAGGAGCAGCAGATGGCAAAGGTTTCCTAGACCAGGGAAGCTAAGCTCTAAGACTCCACCGCCATGAGCATTTGCATTTCATTGAAACAATGCCTAAACCCAGAAATAATCCCAACATGGTCAACCCTGACTCCCGAGAAGTCATAATGGCGCACTCCGGCCAGAACTGAAGCAGCTGCATGCCAACTAAAGTAGCAACGACAGCCTCAAGGGCAAAGTCCCTAAAAGCATCGCACCTCACACCAATATTTATATCCTGCGTGCTGCCGGCCGACCATGCAAGACATGTTCGGGAAGATCTCGAAGAAAATGGCTTGGAAGTCGCGCCGGTAGTAGATGCCTGGGTCTTGCGAACTACGGGCTACCCCAAAGCCAAAGCCTTCAGGATCTTATGATGGTGGCTTCGTTGTCCCAGTCATGGATGCTTGACGTCCCTATGAACGACACAATTATCAGATTGCCATCACCAGCATCATCCCCATCATCATCTCTTTATCTTCACCTATCCATGACCACGAACAGCATCATCGTGACCATGTTCGCTTTTGCTTCACCTGACGTAGGCCACAACAAAAAGTTCAACAGCTCGTCGACTATAGCATGGCAGTTGTACTGCAGCATCCCATGCACAAAGACATTTGGCAACACTGGAACCTGAAAAAAAACTTCTGAAGGATTGTTGGCTCAAGTCCCACACCCGAACCCCTGATGCCCCGGTTGTCCATTTGTGTGCTCCTGACTACTCTGCTTCATCAAGTCCCACCCAATTCGAAATTCCTAACGACATAGGAGCTTCCCGAAAGTAGCCCCTAGAATCTTAAACGAGGACCCCTGCGGTTGCCTTTCCAATCCCATACGATACGTCCACAAACTTAAGCCATGTTCCTAAGCCTGCGAGTGGCACCCCACTTCGGAGCACCCCTAGAAATCAAGCGCTACATGCTCAGCAAAGCACTCCCGCCGGCACTCATGAAGAAGGTCAACGTCACCTGGTCCACTCATTTAGGTGTCTCCTAAACCCTGAACCCTTCAAAACTGACGGGGTGTAGGGGGGGTCCCCTCATGGGGCTGTTGCCTTACAAAGGCATTGTTCTGTGAGGGTCAGGAGAGTTCGAAGCAAATGTCGCCTAATCTTCATGTTGAAACCTACCGGGTTTATTGAAACCCCCCTGTTACCTATTCCCTCCAAGCCCCTTTCTAATATCAGCTTCCATTTTATTTTCCGTCTCTTCTCAATTTTATTCTCAATTATCAAGCCTAAGCCCTAAATGGGGATTAAAGCATTTTGGGGTCTATATGGGGGTCCACCTACTTAAGGAAACTACCATACAATCTCCATATAACCCGAGTTTCCATTTCGTTTTCCAGCTTGCATTTTGATTCTCCATTATTTGGATATCTGCTCCAGCGAGATTGGCTGCTCAAATCCCCCTTTTCTAGCGCGTTCTTATGACGACTTGAATGAGTAGTCCAAGACCAGCATACTGGCACTCTTCTGGCTCTAAGAAACCCTGAAATGATTGGCTATAAATTCCCACCGTTTCAGCACTGATTATGAGAACAAGGGCCATGGCCTCAGCAGTAAGAAACACAGGTCTGCACCATCCATAGGAAGAGCGGCCATAAAAAATATAAATACTTAACCAAAATAGAGACCCTTTAACAACCCACGCCCTCAAAAACCTAGACACAAAGTCAGAGCCCAAAATCCTAAAACCTTCACGTGCCCTACATGTCCTGAAGCGTGAGGCTCAGACATCCTAGACAGGAAGCCAACCGTGAACTCCAAACCGTTAGACCTACACCCCGAAACCCTACACCGTCAATCCCCTATATGAACTCTGTATAATCCAAATATAGTGACACGATCATCCCCCTCATTGTCAAGTTCCTTAACGGCACCTGCTCCATGTTTGGCTGGCCCAGTTCTGCGTTCAGCAGGTAGAGGCCTTGATGCACATAAGCTACAGTCTAAACTTCTAGTATCCCCTTTAATAACCCATATAATACTCCCCTGAGTTGAGACTATAGCTCACATGGCCTCCCATTGGGGTTGAAACCCTTGCGACTAGGGATTTGTGCGTTTCGGGTGTTGGGATTCAGGGTTTAGGGTGAACGACTGCCGGTTTATGGTTCAGAGCTTCGGGTTCAGGATTGGTTGCATATAGGTAATCCTAGAAATAGCGTCCTTACACTCGCTCAAATAATTCCTTGTCATAGGGGCTTCCTGAAAGAGCTCCAAATTTTGGAAGCGCCCGTTTGGTGGGGAGGTCAGGGGGGTGAAGCTTTTGAGCTGTAAGAAAGCATTGAAAACGAACCGCTGCTAAGAGGTCCTTGTCCTGTGTGTCAAGAAACACTTCGACCCTGGACCCTGAAGCATTGGCAGACGCTTTTCCTGAAGACCCTGTCACTGAAGAGCCCTTTTGCAGGGGGTATCAAGTTTATGTAAGGTTGTATACAGATTAGGGCTTAGGGCCGTGCAGCGAGACTCATAGCCATAGCCATGGGCTAGAGCCCTAAGCTACACAACCATACTGCAGCATTCTGTGAACAGATTTACAACAAACGTCAGGCCGTCCTTAACAAGCTGCAGCCTAACCCTAGGCCTGAAGAGCCCCGGGTTGAGGGGCTTGAAGAGCCCCGGGTCAATGTAAAAGGCATCCATTAAAAGGTAATAGGGGGTCATGCGGGGTATCCATATTGATATAGACCCCAGCACAGTCTCGTCCCAGTTACAAGGATCCCAGAAAGTATAAACCATTACATAATCTCAGTCGCCATTTCATGCCTTTTTTCCATTGCATTCTCCGCTGTTGGGGTCATATGGGGTTCTAGTCTATAGGAACTCAAAGCCCCAAATCTGTTCTACCTCCCTCAGTTTCCAGAAATTGGGAGGCATTGAATTGAATTATTGTTTTTTTGGGGGGTAGAGGGGCGCGACCCCATAATAAGGATCATAGTCCATGGAGGTCTGAATTCTGCACCAGGTTTTATGGAAACTCCTATGTCGCTGCAGGCAAGCAACGAATCTGCAAAACTTCGGAATCCTGCATGTCCGCAAGTCGCAGATTGACGGCTGTTCAGTGCACGGATGATAGACGTTGATGAAAAATGGCGAATCAGTTGGAAAGGAACATGAAAGTGAAAAGGAAACTATACAGTGGTGTTACAGTGGTGAATTATCTGTTCATTTGGAGTTGATGACTTCTGTCGGATTTTCTGGTCCTGAGATGCAACCATACAAAACTTACTTTGAAGTGGGACGCCCTTCTTAACGTCTCTTCCCAGATGCTGATGACACAAAACCAAGTACTTCCAGCCCCGTTCCAGAAGAGAGGCCTTTACAGACATGAGCCATAGTCTGAACTCCAAGTATCCCCCTCCGTAACCCCTATAGTAGTCCCCTATATGATTCCCTATATCGACCCCTTTAAAGGAATTTAGATTATGGTTTGCATGCTGCAGCTCTGGCGCATAAATTCCAATAATGAAGAATCACATGGAAAAGAACATGGAAAATGAAATGGAAACTGAGGTTATATAGAGATTGTATGGCAGTTTCCTTAAATAGGGGGGACCCCCACATAGACCCCGAAATACTACAAAGAGGTCCCTATTATGGAGATGCCCAAAAAGGTATTGGGAAACCTCCATCTGAATCTGGCCTGGAACCCTCCCAGCAAGTTTTAGCTGGCTTTGGGGGGCCTACAGTCGGCAAAAATTGCCAGAAACAGGTGCGGCACACCCCTGGTAATTCTGAGAAACCCTAAACCCTAAGCACTAAACCCTAAACCCTAAAACCCCAAACCCTAAACCATTTTGAGGTACATCTGTCGTCATGAATCTCTGAGAGCTTCAACTTGCACACTCTCATGTGGAAACATTGCAAGAAACTTTCAGTGCAACATGTCTGGGGTAGGTTTGGGGGCCGTATGAAATTACTGGTTTATGGCTTTATCGGGACTGTATGGATATTTGGGGCAACAGAAAACAAACTTATGTTCAAACCTACCCCTGATGGGGGTAACCCCCAAAAGAATACAATGAACAGAACAGGATGCCATAGCAAGGAAAGCACCCCGCATTTGTGGCCCCTGCCCGTATCATGGCGAAATAACTCGTGTTACATCCCCATATATGTATGTGTATATATATATAGGAAATTTGTGATCCTTATTGCTATCATTCTTACTGTTTCCTGGCAATGACTGTTGACTGCTACTGCAATTAATACAACTGTCACCATTGTTGGAATCGGTGTCAGTATATGCACCTTTCCAAATGATGAATGTTGCTCCTGTCTTGACAGGTTTCAGGGTCCTTGTCCAGCCACACGCGGTTCCGGAAGTACTGCAGCCGCTCCATTGTTCGGCTCTTGGCTTCTGAAGGATACAAATAGAACCTGCATTGAACAGCTGTCAGGGGAAACAAGGACATGACAAAACGAGATGACTTAGGACTTAGGCCGCGTGGGTGACGTAAGATGGAAAGTGCTGAGTACTGGGCTGGGTACAGGAGTACAGGAAATACAGGTTGGAGGTCCAAGATCCAGGATACTGTTGTTGATGGAAGGACTCCTGCATGCCCCTAGACGTACCTAGCTGCCACCATACTCCAAAGGTCTCACATTTGTAGGGTCATGCAGGATTGGCTCTGATACTTACCAGGCTAACAAGGAGTTGTCTGAGCATACATAATTCTAGACATTTGATGGTCTCCTTACTCAATGCCCAAAAAAAGCAACAGTCCAAGCATAGGAAACCTAGCAACGGAATTAAGGCAAGGCTCTCGGACTGGCGGAATGAGTATGATCTTCCGTGCTTGAATATAATTCTACACTTGCTAGTTGCACTTTAGGCAGGGAGGTATATGGGCGGCATAGGGGGGTATATGAAAACTTATATCGAAATACAAAGCTAGCAGCAAAACAGCAGTACTGTGGAGACTAAAAGCCCTACATGACCCTAAGTACCCTGAACCTTGGAAATCATGGTGCTATAGCATACTACGGTCATGCACGATTTTAATACAAACCTAAACCCCAAACCCTTAACCCTAAACTCTGAACCCTAAACTCTGAACCCTAAACCCTAAAAAAGCAGTAGGAGGGGTGTTAGGCCAGCATGCGCCAGAGCCAGGCCTGAAGACGTGCATCTCGTCCGTTTTCTCTCTGGGCAGAGATGTCCTTATGTAAAGGAAAGGATTTAGGGTTTAGGGGCGACTAGATCGGGAACCCCAAGAATATAGTGAGAATCAAATCTGAGTCTGAGGACCCTGGTAGATATGTAAAAAAGACTGCCATGGGGATTCTTTCAATTACCCTGCTATTCAGCTGAATACTTTGGACGCGCGATGCAGAGGACATCAGACAAACCTTTCGCCGAACCACTCACAGTAGGGCTTGGTCGACGTCACGCTGTTCTGATCCATACATGAGTCATAGTCTAAACTCCTAGTATCCCCCTTGATAAGTTGACCCTTATGGTAGTCCCCTATATAATTCGCTATATAACCCCCCTTAAGCAGTTTAGCACAAGAACCCCCTGCTGCCCAAGGGGCAGCATTGGCGGTGCCAGTGGTGAGAGCTGCCGGCCCTCAGGCCTTGAGGGATTTCAGGCGCAGAAGCCGTTTAGGATTTAGGGTTTAGGGTAGTTCAGGGCTTAGGATAGGGTTTTAGGGTTCAGGATTTAGGGCTTAGGGTTTAAGGGTTTAGGAAAAGGTTTAGGGTAACCGTTAATTTCGGGATGTTGGAAAAGAAAATGGAAACTACTATAGTATCTTGGGGCTATATGGGGATATTGGAAAAGAAAATGGAACCTACTATCGTATATTGGGGCTATGGAAAATGTATGGAAGCTGGGAAACAAAATGCAAACTACTATTAAGCCCTATAATGACAAAATGGAATCTACTATGTCATTTAGGGTTAGCTGGGTTAAGGACTCGAGGCAGATAGAGTACAGTTTACAAACAACACGGAGGTCGTGCAGGCATTGGCGTTTAGGCGTAGGCATGTAGGTGTTTAAGGATGAAGGATTTCGGGTTCGTTGGCATTCGGGATCACCTCTTTGAGGAAGTGAAACAATTTTGCTTCAAGCACTGGACAAAGGTCCAATTCATCCACAACTCGTTGCTGTGATCAGGAATGGTGGCTCCAATGACAAAGCAAATGGAGCATGAAAGGTTTATGTGCGAGTTGTCTATACTTTAGAGGTATATTTGCCAAACAATGGAGAACCAAATGAAAGAGAAAACGAAATATTGGAAATATGTAGGGGTTGTATAGGGCTTCTTGGTTTGTTACTTTACTGAGGAATTAATTGTATACGGGATATAAGTTTTGGGCCACTGCTGGGAGTCAGCAAGCTTCAATGAAAGGGACAAGCCAATCTTTGCTTTTGCACCAAATGTTTAGGTACGGTTTAGGTACTTTGCCCTAGGGATCCAAGTATACGAATAGGAGTTATAAGGGAGAATCAAATGGAAAAGCAAATGGAAAATGAAGTGGATATTGGGGTTATATAGGGATTACATCTCAGAGAACACAAAAGCACAGTCAGAACTTTTTCTATTGGCAATTGCATGCTAAATGTGGGAACGGCTGTCTGGGCTGCAGGTTTTTAAGGCGGATGGTTCAGTTGATTGTTGATTGCGAAATGTTCTGTTCTACCTGCTGCATGGCATAGTAGCTTCCGTGACTAGAAACTAAAAAAGTTCGCCCAAAAAGTCGCACTTCCTAGCGTGTGCACCAGATGATGCCTCTACTGGTGGAACCTGGGCAAAAACCATTGTCCTATCAACCTAGAAACACTCTGCAAAGTTACGTGGAGGTAGCACAATTTATGGTTCCTTGTGGAGAGTCTATCTAATGAGCATGACATAAGGTGTTCCCTATTTCGTATGCCGGAACATGCCATACCAAGGACCTTGTGGGCGCCCTGTGATTCCGTACTGCAAGCCCAAGGCACGAGAAGTTCTGGAACCCGTAAATCCTTTGAAAAACCTAAAGAGTCCGCATGGATCCTGAGACCCTGCGCCTCCTGAACCCACTTGTTTGCTTGGTTGACCTGACTTTGCAGCCCTTAGAAAAGTATTAGGATATATAGGGTCCGTATGTAAGTGTCCCAGAGGCCAACCCAGTTTCTAGACAGTTTCGGCTGCCTGGACCTCATCCCTTGCATGTTGCTGCGCCCAGTGGCTCAACATCCTCCATGTCCGCCTCGCCATCAAGCCTGTAGTTTGCACTCTCCCCCGACTTCGAACGGCATAGGCAGTTGTAGGATGTTTTTGACAGGGTAACATTCAGCTAACTAAGGAGCTATGACAGTTTAAGGCCCAAACGCTAAAGAGTTCTCTTAGTAGAAAAATGCAAAACCTCGAGTTGGTCCAGCTATTAGAGCTCCCAACGGCAGTGGCCTGGCCTCCGCATCGTCCAGTTCCCACCTCACCAGAAACATTGACTTACAGGAGGAAGGGAATGTATGATGTAGGGATTGTTCCCTACTAATCACCAGTAAGTTGACTGCTGTTGTTCCGCACAAACCAAGATCTCATGGTGGCCTTCTTGAGAGCCACTGACAGAACCCTGGGACATGCCCAGGAGGTGTGGTTAGACTTAGGGATGTGGGCGCAGGTTCTCGAAGCGGGGCCCTCATGAACATGCGTACCGGCTCAGAACACGTTTAGCGACAGGAATTCCAAACATGTTCTTGCCTGGTGAAGTACAATATGTACTTCACTCCCACTTCCGAGCGCATGGTGAATGCGCAAGAGCGTGCCGGAATGGGCTGTGGTTAGCAAAGATGCGGATCTTACGCATTTGCGTACAAAAGCCTTCGCGCTTCGGGAAAGTCTTTGTATCAGGTCAACTGCTTGATGCAGCAAAACGGAGGCCTGTCAGACTAGGTGCAGGCCAGTATGGGGCATTGACAGTTCATCTTCTCCTTGGAGGGGCCTTCGGATTCCCGAACCCTTGGAACCCGGCCTAGACCCGGCAGCACCTTCCGCGCATCAAGGGGAACCCTGGTTGCCATGCATACCCAAATGGCTGTTCACTTGATCCTTGTTGACAGCGTTTCAGCCGAACCCTCCCGACTGAGGCCCCGGGCAATCCACCACGAAGCCGTTGCTTCTCTGCCTGGGTTTTCAAATTTATCTCATAACGTCATCGTATGTGTGATTTGGGATTTAAGGCTTCAGCCTTCAGCCGGGTACATAGCATATATACTTTGGTCATGGCAACACATGAAGAGTGAAGCTCATGATGGTGCTTTCAACCAATGGCTTTGGGGTCTTGGGACTTGTACTCAGAATTGCGGATGTGCGCTGTTGGGCTCAAGGGTTGGCCATTTATGGTCTGAGTGCTCGTTCGCCTGAAGGAATCCCCAACCAACAGTTGCTTTGGAGCACGAAGACTATGTTCAATGCTGTCAGAGCTGATCTGATGCATATTCCCCTTTCATGAATTGGCTCCCGAAATCTCACCGTGTCTAAAGCCTTTAGCCCTCAATCAAACTCCGAATGCACCGACCCGAAGGCATCCCCTCAAACTTTCCACACTTCATCATGAACCCAAGAACCCTTACAATAATCTTGGGCAAGTCCTTGCATACTACTCATACAATCCCGACATAGTCCAACTTTGGGTCTCGAAAGCGAGACGATCCCTTTGCCAACCTCCAAAACAAGAGTTTGTACTGTAGAGTCGTCCAAAAAAATACCCAAGATTTCGAGAGCCCATGCCTACCCCTAAACTGCAAATCGAATCTCTCTGCGAATCGAATCTTTCATTTACTTGCTGGGACCCAGGCTGGTTCAGATAAGCAGGCTGAAAGCCGCGGTTGGACCGACAAAGAAAGCCTTAGGCTCTTGCATCTCAAGGGTCAAGGCTTGGTGTCTCATGGGTTTTGGGTCTAGGGTTGAAAGTTTTGGGTTTGGGGTGTCGGGTTTAGGGTTTTGGGTTTAGGGTCATGGGTTTAGGGTTTGTGTTGGGCCTTCAAGGAGTTCTAGAAGAAGATCTAACAGAACAGGCGCCCGGTCCTCCTGGACGCAATAAACCTTTCATACGTAGTGCCAAGACAAACGAACAAAAAAAAATGGGAAACAAAAACATATTCTAAAGGTTCCAGGGTTTGGGGGCTTGGAGCACCCAAATTTTCACAAGTCAGTGAAGCATGACAGAAACCCAACAACTCTCTGCTTGGGGTAGACGTGGCCGGGGTCGTAATCCGACACTTACATCACCAACGCACGACCAAATCCTCTCCCGGGCCCATATTCCCACAGCCTGCGGGTGCACTCGGGGGGGGGGTCTACAGCATTCCTTTGCGATGCTGCCAACCGCAAGAAGCCTCCCCTCACTATGGCAACTCCAATACTTTTGAGCCTGCGCTCCATGCACAAGCATCACCTCAAACCAGCTAACCTCGAACCCCTAAGCCCGGCTCAACACTAAGCCTCCACAATTCGTCGCCCAGGTGCAGGAAATCTCACTGTTGCACTGAAAGGCTTTGCCATAAGCGGCGGACACATTTCCTCGGGTTCAAGTTTATGAAGTATTTTCTGGGTCTGGGCTATGGGTCGGGGGGGGGTCAGTTTAGGTTTCTGGGTCTGAGTATTTGGACTTCAGGACAAGAGCCCACCTGAAAAATCCTGAAAGACCCCTGAGGGGGAGTAGTATATCATAGTATATTATATTATAAGATATTACCGTATATTATAGCATATTATAGACTACAATATACTATCACATACTTTAGTTTTGGGGGACTCTTGGACAATTGGAGAGTCTTCGCAAGCCACGGGCGTCCTTACGAACTCGAGGAGTACTTGGTTCCATCGCCCTGGACCAGTCGGAACTGGCCCCAGGTGCTTGAAACTACTGGTGTTACTGGTGTTCCAGCCCGCAAGGTGCGTAGGCGGACTTGGTAAGTAGGTTAATAACACCCATAAACCATACAGAAACCCTAATTATCCCTCCTTACCAACCTACTTAAATCCTTAATCCCTAAACCCTCAACTCTCCAAGCGGACTACACATACCTTGATGCCCATGAGGAAGCCTGCCATCCGTGACACCTGCCTTGGACATCTCTATGCATCCTAGAATCCTGAAGAAACCCTGGCAACATAAGAAGGAACCCTAGTAAAATATTAATGTAGTAAGATAGTCATATGACAAGATCGTATAATGGCAATATATATATATATATTAATATACAAAAGTAGTCAAAAAGCAATATAGTAAGATACTAATATAGCAAAATAGGAATAGTCCGTACAAGAACATGGTGGAACATCACAAGCCTGGCCCTCAGCATCCTGAGCCACATATGGCTCCATAGCCCTAAACCTTATAAATTTCTAGAAATATTTCTATAGATCCCTATCTACCCCTATACATCCCTATGTATCCCTATATACCCCTATATAACCCTCTGCTTCCCGCAGGCAGGCCACTGGTCTGCTGGAATCGGATTGCGCCTGCACTGAATGCTACTATCATTGCTACTACTAGTAGTAGTACTATTAAGCACTAGGGTCAATTTCTGTTCAATGTTGCTTTGTAGATGCAAAAGTATGACCTCGCCCCCTTTACCTTCCATCTTAGATTCAAATGTTGATACAGGTTTGAACATTCAATTGCCGTGACTCGTGTGTGGTCGTAGAAACCCAGCAGGACACAATTCTTAACCAAAGATCTTCGGGATCTGCAATCTTTGACCATGGAGGAACCAGTGATGAAAGGACTATTTAGCATGTTATTATTGTATTACTTTATTGCTATATTGCTTCATTACTATATATTATTAGGCTGAAGTTGCATCTTCTGAAACCTTGGCTGCGCGTCATAAGGTTTTGATTCTGAACTTAGGGTCTGGGCTTGAGGTCCGTAATCAGCATGCCCATGCCGCCCAACTCTAACGACGAACACATCTGCACTGTATGTCTGGTGCTTGTTTGCTACCAGAACTGCTTATCATGACCCCTGAATCCGCTGGGAGGGTGTGCTTGCGACTGGGGATGCCCTTGTGTGTGGCTGGAACTTAGTGCTGTAAAGCGACTGCTAATGAGTGAGTGGCTAACCGACTTCCTCCGCTGATCTGAAATGCTTGCAACGATTCAGGACCAGTGGGTGCATGACTGCCTCCTCTGGTGTAGGGTTTGCGGTTTAGGGTAAAGGCTTTCTTTTTTTAATGAAAAACTCCTGGGGCCCTGAACCCTAGACCCTGACCCTACAGGCCTGAAACCTGTGACCCTGATCTTAACCCCGTTAAAGTCCGTGTATATGTATATATACATATATAACCCTATATATCCTTATTTAGCCCTATATAACCCTAGATACTCTGCAGATCATACGCCCCACAAACCCCAAACCAGATTCCAGCCTTGGATCTGGTTGTAGCGATTCACACGCCCCCAGTCACCCCATTTGTAGTTCGTCGTGTTCTTGGAGAGCGTGCGGCCATACATATCCTTGGTTTAGGATTTAGGTAGATAGGGGTTAAATTGGGGTTATCTTGGGATTATGGAAAAAATGGCAACTACTATTTAGGGTTTAGGGTCTAGTCCCCTGTTAGGTAGATTTATGGGGTATATGGGGATCTTACTATGATATACCCCAAGCCATATTCTATCTACTTAAGGGGGACTATAGCTTTTTGAGTCTGGGCTTAAAGCAGAGGACTCATCATCTTTGGGGGCGAGGGGGTAGCGTGTGTATACGAATTACAGGAAAGCAACTGTAAAAGAACCTGCGGTGTGCACCTGGCCCACACGGAAACAGATGCGGGATCCTTCAGCGAATATGGCCATACTTCTTATGGGACTCGAGGGTTTAATTTCCACTCAGATTCCGCTCCTGTGCATGGAGTTCCTGAAAACTGCGCTCTGCTTTTCGAGTCTGCATTTTAAAGCCGGGGCCAGCATCCACCAATGATGTTACACAGGGACCCTTCGGATTGTATGGCAGCGAGCGCTAAGAAAAGTTACACGGGAATTTCTCAGTAGGGGGCCCTCTCAGAACCCTCGGAGTATGGGGGGATGACAAACGGATGATAGGGATCAACGTAACGCATCTTCGGTAGCTTTGAGTAACTCTCACATACCGTCAGCAGCCCGTGCTAAGCTCTTGAAGCACCAAGCCAAATCCGAAGCCTTGACCTTGAAGCCACACCTGAACCCCAAGCTTCGTCTCAGAAGAGGACGTAGCAGTTGCTGTAGTAGTAATAGAAGCAGCAGTAGTAGCAGTAGCAGCAGCAGCAGCAGTTGTTGTTGTTGTTTTAAGACTAGATATAGCACGAAAGAATCATAATCATCATACCATACAAACATTGCAATACTTGTAAAAGTAATAAAGCTGATACTCAAGTTCGCAGCCATGATGGTGACGACCATAATGACAGGTATCCCCAACGCTTTAGCCACAAAATGGGGGGGACTCCCTGTTTGGGAGTCCCTCTAATCAGGCTTTTGCTGATTTTGGAAACGCCTCAACCCTGAACCCCCAGTCCCCAGGTCATGGCATGGCTCAGTCTGCTTGAAGAAAATGTCGGAGAAATCTCCCTGAATGGCATCCTCAGGCTAAGGGCTTTGTGTTGCATAGAGGGCATACCTTAGCAGGACCCCCCCCACCCTGTAAGAGTGGCATAATAGGAGTATAATAGGACCCTAACATAATCCTTATTATCCCTTATAGCCACTATTGCAGGGTGGGGGGGGGGGGGTTCTCCTAATGCATACAAATCATTCTGTATCCTGGCAAGTTGTCCAAGAGTGACGCAAGGAGTTTGACCATGTGGGACCTGGTAGTTTCTTTTTAATAGGGGGACCCCCCAACGTAAATCTCAAAATACTTCCGTCTTTATTCGAGGGACCCCGAATAACTTTTGAGAGACCACGAACCCGTTATGTCCTATATATAATACAAATGTCCTTTTAAATTCCCATGTTCTTTTCCGTTTGACTCTCCATTGTTGGGGTAACATCCCTATATCCCCTATATAACCCCCAAAACCCCCCTATCAAAACAAATAATTGGGGTAATATCCTCCTGGGAAACCCCCCACTCATGTGGCGACGACTGTGAAAGCATCACTCTCTACCTACACACTGCTTGTCTTTTCCATTATCTCTATATAGCCCCGATATACTATATAGTGGTTTCCACCCCTATATAACCGCAATATGCTATATAGTAGTTTCCATTTTCTGTGGAAGTCACACTGCATCTCGAGGCTTCTGCACGTTGACAAAATTATTGGCTGTTTTTATCATGAAACGGTAGTTTCCTGAGAAGGGGACCCTAATACAGCCGCAAAAGACTGCAAGTCTTGCTCTGGGACCCCCCAAAAACGGGACCATAATTTGGTGCAATCCCCGTGTGCCATGGATAGGGTGGGGGCCAGTCGCAGATTACAACCACAGATATCCTTGAACAGTCTCATGGGAGCTAATAGCTCACACTACCAGAACATGGGATGCTTGTCAAAATATTTCTAAGAAACCCCCTATAAAGCCACAAAGGGAACGAATAACTCCGAGAAACCACGGATTCAGGTGATGAACGAGAATCACTAACGAGCCGCGAATATGTTGTCACGCTTCTGCAGCAAAAACCCACAAAGGTGGCATAAAAAGCGCTTAAAGCATACCCAACGCCCTTTCTGTGGCAGAAGGACTTGCCAGCCCAGGCACCCACAAGGAGTCCATGTCCTGCTGAGTCAGGCTCCAGGCTTCTCACTTCTCAGTCGTTTGGGACTTGCATGCAATAAGATGGCTCTTGGGTCAAGACGTCGGTGTGCAGTCTGCCTAGGCCTCCCTGACCAAGAAACGGTGTTAGGTCATTAGAGGTACTTCCTTGCACATGGCACGTCGTGACAACGAATTCGGAGCCCGATGCGCCCCGAGCCCAACAACAGGGAGCCTTCCGACATCCTGAGCCTTGTGCCTGAAATCATGGGTATGTTAATGATGGTAGCGATAGCAAGCAGAATAGTGATCCAAAAACGTTCAGCCTATATCCGAGACAAGCAAGGTGTCAAAAACCCTGTTTGCTCCCATGGGGTACTGCCCTCTCTCAAAGACAGCCTCCGAAACAGCAGGCACATTTCAACTCTACCTTCAACAAGCTGGACACACATCAATGACGTATTGTGTATAGTGAGGTCAGCATAAAACAGACCCAGGATTTGAGATCTGCAAGCTTTAGGATCCAATTGCTGGCCCTACTGAAAAGGCAAAAGAAACCTGTTCTGTAGCTTTACAGACATTCAGTGGGGGAGAAGGGGGGGGGAATGGGATTCAAATCGTAAGACGAGCTATCGCACAACCGAACATGAAAACGATGAACAGAGAGCTCCGGCTGATATTCCTACACCTCGTGGCATAATGGCGCATATCAAATACGAGACAACGGCCCTAAGGAGGCTTGCTTGAGACATTGAGAACTGATAGCGGTCATTCTAATTGTAGTAATAGGCCTAATAGTACTGATAGTAATGATAGTAAAAATATATTCAAGCTTTGCAGCAACTTGAGATGTTAGTTGATTGAACAGGTTGTAGGGTAGCATTATGCTAACCGCACGAAAGGTATGATGAGTAAGTGCTCTTGTTCTGTAGGCATATTTGCTCGTTCCTACCAGACTCTATGACAAATACATCGAGTTGGAGTCTACGCCAAGATAAGGCAAAAGCCGTTAAACCCAAAAATTCTTGTTCCAAGGAGGCCCAGAAAGAGACCAACACTTCCAGGAATTCATAATACGCTGCAAGATTTCTGTTCTTATCCATCTTCTGAGTGAACATGGGAACATTTGGATAGAAGAATCTTGCTCGTTCTGGAGGGAAACATGATCCGTATTGGACTAGTTGCTCACATGCCTAGTGTGGTGGAGGCTCCCTTAATACTAGTAATGATAATAGCAATGCAACTAATAGTAATAATACTCACACTAACAAAAACAGTGATAATGATATACCGCTTTTAAGGGCCCCTGAAACGGTCGGAGCCGCCTCGACTTCGCCGAAGATGTCGTCCATCTGCCCACGCAAGTTGGACTCAATCATGTACACATCTGAGATGTCCTGCTCAGGTTGCAGCATGCAGCTGTAAGGAGCTTTGGGCTTGGAGTCTGGGACGTATTTTGACATGTCTCCAGGCTTGTTGCCAAGTTTGCAACGCCTTTTTGAAAGAACCTTGCCCTAAACGCTAAACTCGAGACCCTCCTCTGGGCGGTCGAGCCCGACTAAATTTCATGGTAATATGGGTCTTCGAAAATCCCGGCTTTGCTATTGGAGTAAATGATGGGTTTAGAGTTTAGGGATTAGGGCTTTGGTTATTTCCTTTTACGCATCCTACCCCTGTTGCAACTTGCGTTGGTCAATCTGAACTTTCGCGAATCTGGACACATAAAGGCTTCAGAACATGAAGAGCTTCAACCCCCCAGGTTGGGAAGCCATCCCGCTATGCGCGTCATCCCGTTGAACCCTAAACCCTAAACCCTACACACTAAGCCCTGAAGCCTAAGCTGGGAACAGGCCTACTTGTTCTGTAGCGTAGAAGAGGTTTGAGGTTTAGACTTTGGGTACCCCAGACTGCTGCCATACTTAGCATCGCTTCGCAAGTTTCCAGGTAAACTCGACTCATCTTGACTTTCTGGCGCTTAACTAAGCATAGGGGAAGGAATATAGGTACTAGTCTAACAGATTATATGGATCATCACAGGGATGCACTCTCCCACTCCCCCTTCAGGCCCAATCAGGTTTCTTGAAGCAACTGAAACCCTAAGTACGCGTGGGGCCTCACAGGGAGCTACAAGGAGTATATTGTAGTTTCCCAAAATACAGGGACCCCAATATAGACCCCAAAATGCTATAGTCCTTCTCATGGGGACCCCTAAAAAGGTACCGCTAATTTTGGGAAAACCCCATATGGCTCCATTGAAGTCGTGAATTTCATCCGGGTCCTCGTGCAGCATGATAGATGTGCAGAACCTGGTCGTGCGCACAATCATTCACAAAGCGTGAGCAAATGCCCTGCTACCCATGCCCAGTCTTCGGACATGCTTCCTGAGACAAGGGTCTTGGGCTTCTGAGGTCACTGTCAGGACCATGCGTCCAACCCGACGTAGTCCCTGATCCTCAATCCTACTATATAACCCCAATATAATAGAATATACTGTAGCAGTGTCTATTTCATTTTCCATTATCCCCAATTTAACCTCAGTATATAATAGACAACCCCAATATAACAGCCAGGTAACAGGACGAAGTAAACAAACGCCAAGGGAAGCATCAAGCATCCCATCAGCTTCTCGCGCTGACGGGTTGCAACGATCTTCATTGCCTGTGGGAGATTTGGTGTGTAGGGTTTACTTTTAGGCTTATGCAGGGCGCGGGGTTCGCAGAATCATTTGGAATTTAAGGTGGCTTCAAGCCTGAAGAATACCTGGCATTGGTGAAATTCTAGATTTGGATTTATGTTGAAGGCATTGGTCGCTGGTCTCAACTGCATTTTGTGTGATCAAACCTGACAGTGGATTTGCCGACAACGGTGAGGCTGTCGAAAAAGACTTCGAAACCTCGAAACCACGTAACTTTGTGGCCTCGAAACCTCGTACCCTGGAAGCCTCGTAACCTCGGAACCTCCTAACCTCGAAATGTCGAGGGATTTCATTATCAGGTCTGTTCTGAAGTTTGAGGTTGCGTGCGTGCCTGCAGCTGGCATGTGGTAGATGAGATGTTCAACTCATTCCCTTACTGGTTGAAAGAAGGGAATATGGGAATATAATCGGTGAAAATCCCTACATGATGTATTTCCATATCCCCTGTTAACAACCAGCAAGAATCCACGACTCAAGCACATATGCAACTGCCAGGAGATGCTGATGCAGAATCTGCGACTTGTATTCACACGCGGACGAAATCCTAGCCCTCATGTACTAGGGTTAGGGTTTAGGGTTCAGGGTTACGAAATGTCATGGAGCCACTGCATACCATGGAAATCGCTACCCGCCTGCGTTTCGGTCCCCTCATTCGCCGACATGAGCGTGCTGTACGTCAGCATGCTCCCGGCCATGAGCCTCTTCTGCCACTTCATTTGAGCTATAGTCTAAACTCCAAGTGTCCCCCTTAATAACCCTTATACTAGACCCCCATATAATCCCATACAAACCTCCATTAAAGGAGTCTAGACTATAGCGAGCAGGTTCAGGGCTTGGCATTTGAAGATTGTTTCTCCGCCTGAAGACTTCCAGGAAGCACTGGAAGGCCATCATTCGGCGCTTGCTTAAGAGCTGGCTACTGGTTCCATAGCTAGGAGAGCTTCGGAATGCAGATGCCTACATAATTTAGAACTGCACTCCGAGGTATATCATGCGACACATCTAGCAAACCTCGCAGGCCTCTACACGAGGTGCGGGCAGTTGCTCTGCACACCCATTCCTAGATTCCAAGGTATCCTCTGAGGAGTTGCGCGGCTCCGAGAGGATCATGAAGTTGTAGGGCACGGGATCCCTAACCAATATGCTTGCAATCAACGGTAAACTCCAATATGCCCCTCTAACTACCCCTACGGCTTCATTCCTACAACTACTTCAACCTGCTCAGCAGACCTAGGTAACCCTACGCCTTAAACCCCATCCCTAGACCCCAAGCACCGAACTCTAGACCCCCAAAGGAAAAAAAAAACATAAATAATGGTTTCCATTCTATTTTCCATTATCACAATCTATCCCCAATATACTATACGTAGTATTTTCCATCATCCCTATATATATATCCCTATTATGATACAGTGCAGCCGACCGAGCCTGATTTCATCGTCAAGGTTACGGCCCCCCTTGGGCTTCGTCGCGGACTCCCACACCTGCGGCACAATTGGTGCAGAAAATGTCAGATATCTTGACCTTGCCTGACCTTAACACGAGCTGTAGCAAGACCCAATTTCAGTACATGCCCAACGTTGCTAGATCCTGCTGCCTGCAATCCCAGAAGAAGCCCAAAGTTCAGAAGCCCCTGCAGCCCAAATCGCATATACTCCAAAAAACCAGTACGAAGAAGAAGCCCCCTATGATGGGACACACCCCATGGCGCCCAAGATAGGACACTCAAATGTAAGAAATCCACCAAAATGGTAGATTCCTAAAATAATGAATCGTAATATAAACCTCAACCTGTTATGATCCTCAGTATGGGAACCCCCCATATCTCGAAACCTTAAACCCTAAATAGTAGTTTCCATCTTTCCACCATCCCAATATTACCTCCATATGAGCTATAGTCTAAACTCCTAGCAGCCCCCTTAAGGTAATACTCCCCCATAGAATCCCCTATATATCCCCGTGAAGGAGTTTACACTATAGCTCCTATAACTTATAACCCATCAAAATCCTTAAACCCTAAACACTACATAGTAGTTTCCACTTTCTTTTCCATCGTCCCAATATTGCCCCAATATATACCCCATAATCCCTAACCCTTATATAATCCCTGTAGTTTCCATTTTCTTTTCCAATGTCCAAATAATATCCCAATATGGTAGTTTCCCAAAATAAGGGGACCCCAATATAGACCCCAAAATACTATAGCCCTTATTATTGGGACCCCTAAAAGGGTACCCCTAATTTTGGGAAACCCCCATATGACCCATCAAAATCCTATTGAGGAAGTCCGGCCTTTGACATGGTCACAGGCGGCTGCGCTGGAAAGCTTTCAGCGATGCTTTGCGAGATACGGAACCAAAGAAGTGAACCACAATAGTGGTAATAGTGAAGCTGAGAAATGCTTTTTGAAGTCTGTATGCTGAAATCAAGGTAGGCTAAAAGTCTCATGATGGACCAAACCAAAGAGGCTGCTTCACCTCTGTGCTGCTTCCTGGCGTCGGTTCGCTACACTAAGCCCTCCGCACAGGCTTTGAGCCTCCACGTTGAGAAAGCACCCCCAATGAGGACAACGCTGAATTGGCTTTCATCCATTCCACGGGCCATCCTACTTTGATGGCACTGAAATGTGGGCAAATCTTCTGGAGTAAGCACATTTGTTCACCCTGAACTCTTTTTGTTGTTCATCTCTTGGTATCATTCTGCAGCCTTTTCATTCCGTGTTGTTCTTTGGCTACATTTATATCCTGTCTCGTTGTTTTGGCGTACTTTCATCCTCTGGTGACTCTAGTGCTTGTGTTGGTGTTATTTCAAGCCTTGTGTGGTGTTCTCGTGTTTTCGTATTATTTCACTCCAGGGTCTTGTTTTGGAGAATAAGTCAGCAATAAAACCGAAGAGACAATGTTCCTTTATCATCCCAATATTATGCCTATATGATCCCTATATTACCCAATTTCACCCTATATTACCCTGTATCATCCCAACATTACCGCAGGGTTTTACCAACTGTTATGTTGTGTTGGTGTTTTTTCATCCTTTGGCTTCATGTTAACCATAGTCTAAACTCCTGGCATACCCCTTAACATCCCCTAGAGTAGTACCCTATATAATCCCTTGTAAAACCCCTTTTAAAGAGCTTAGACTATGGCTCGTGTACGTGTTCTTTCATTTTGTTGTCTTGTGCTGCTGCTGTTTCATGATATTCTTATATTGGCATTCATCCTGTTGCTCTTTTATCCATTGGCACTTTTGGTGTGGTTTGAGTGTTCTTGCATTATGGAGTCGAATTTTGCTACGGTGGCAAGCTGGCAACATGAGCATGTACATGACACCATGTACCCAACCAAGGATACTGGGGGGTTGGTGAACTAGGCCTTTGAAAGAGATACATGCTGTTTGAATTGATCTTCCTGAGCCAAGGAACAGATGTTTCGCTTCATCTCACATGATACATTTAAAGTCCGTGAACTGTAACGGAGATTCCGCCATTCTTGGTTGTGAAGCATTTTCGTGGTATGGGTGTTTCTGCACCACCTCCACTTCCACCCATTGCAGTGTGCAAACAGCATGAAGCTTGCGGAATACCCAGAGCCTCCGCTTCTCGGTGTAAGTCCCGTACTTCCCATCATGGCACCACAACTGAACTGCTTCTTGATGGAATTGTGCGTGAAAAAGATTTCCGTTGGGGCCGGCTTCAGGACTGTGACACGCCTCTTTGATCTGTGCTGAAATGCTGATTTTCTCCCAATTTAGCGTAGCTTCTCCCATTTAAGCGTACCTTCCAGGGCTCTAGCAACCACATGCCCAACCTGCACCAGTCACATGCGCCCAGGCAAACTCGCACATTGATTGTGTCCCATTTTGCGCTCGCGACTTCCGCAGGCTGCAATCGCTATCCCTCCTGCCACTCCAGTTGAATATGGGGTCTTGGTGCTGAGCTTCTATCCGGTCAGTCCTTTAGGACAGTTTTGGAGGCAATCCTAGCCAAGGATTCCGATAGGAAAACATGCTCCAAACAACGGGGTTCCTGGTTGTACTGATGGACCCCGACCTCCAGCGCCTTGAATGAGGAGTCTACAGTTGTAAGATGGCCCTCAAACCTGAACCTCGGGTCGTACAAGCCGCTTTTCTGGGTTGCTGTTAATTAGGGAACTTAAGCTAAGGTACCATAATGGGTGTATATATATATAAAGACAATAATAGGGTTTCCCAGATATAAAAATTGAAATTAAGCTCCTTAACAGCAACCCAGCTTTTTCCCAAGCTGTGACAGGAAGCCCTGCTGCCCCAGTCCTCATCATCGTCAAGCACCCGCTGAGTCTCTTCTTTCAGCTTGTCCAAGTCGCTGCGATCGTAAAAGGACTCATCCTTGGACGGCAACTCTCTGTCATAGAGTTCATGGAAGAAGCTGGCGCGAGTGTCATGGAATCCCAGATGTTTCCTACAAATCCAAATCTCGCAGAGGGTACTTCATCAAGCCCCACCCCTACCCATCCTAGAAGATCCGAAGCAGTTGGCTGAGCACATGGCGAATCATGCCGTCACAAGTTTGGGCTCGGAACTTTCCAGAAGTTTGTTTCTACGTGACAGCAAGGAGTACATCTTCTGCATGTTTCTTCCTGACTCCCTGCACAAAATGCTGTCAAAGCATCATGCCGTATGGATCCCATTTTGGAATGGGAAGTGCAAGCTGGTGTCGGATTCTATGCGGGTAAGGGTCTGGTGTCTGTGGGGGCCCTGCTTCAGGGACATGGCTAAGCTAATAAGCTGGAATCTAAGCACAGGGGGTTGCAATGGCGCTGCAAGGATCAACCACTGAACTTTAAAACAGCTAGAAAGGATCCCTTACATGTCTTCGACTTGTGCAAGCCCTACGGGAAACCCATATCAAACCTAACTCAAACCAGGAATGTTGATTTCTGCTTCATTGTCCACTTGCTTTTCTATTTGATTCTCCATGTTCCCTATATATGCATAACATATCTATATATATATATATCCCATCTACTTCCCTATACACGATGGTAATAATCATCCAGTCCCCAAGGACTAAACCCTAAACCTGAATCCTGGAGTTCCTCAAGGCAAGGCTCCGTGGCACAGGTACAAAGGTCCGGGAACTCATTCAGCTCCCGGTCCTCATCAACCTGCAGACCTGCTTAAAGGCTGGTTAAGAATTTAGGGCTCTACGGTTTTAGAGTTTTAAGGCTTTTGGGTTTTGGTGGCTTAGGGTTTTAAGGTTTTAGGGTTTAGGGTTTAAGGCTTCAGGTGTTTTAAGGGATTGAAGTTTAAGGCTTTTTCGGTTGAAGCCTTCCTGGCTTTGGAGGGCTAAAGGCTTGGGATTTCCTGGGGTCTGAATCAGGTTGGAGCCATGAGTTCTAAAGGGTTTCCTTGACTTTCGGGCGGGCGTCAGCCTTCTGCCTTCGCCTGTCGGCTCCAAACAAACCCTGCGTCATCCTGAAATGGCTGTCAACGCACAGCTCCGTTCCAAACCTACTGGTGAGTTAAAGCCTTTTCAGGACAGGTCAAAGTACATGTTAGCTATTGTGCCATGTTATATACACAAGCCGTCATTGTTCATAAGCCACGACATCAGCCTAGCTTCTTCCCCGGCCGAAGCTCTCCTACATGTCGACTAGGGTAGCATGCTGTTCATGGTGCCTGCTTCCCCACCATCTTGGTAGTAGCCCGCAGCCAGATCTGCAGACCACATGCACAGGATCTGCTCCGGCTTCCTCATGCCGCGCTGCAGGCTTTGAACTTCGGGGTTACACGCCAAGTATGTATCTATCTCATGCAGGCTGTATCTTGCAACACAGTCAGACTCGGCTTGTAGTTGGCTATCGCGCCGGGATTCAGCGCGCATGGTTTTGGGCATAATTTTCAGACTTTGTCTACAGCAAACCAACATCAGCACTCAGTTAGGGAAGAGCCATTTCACTGCTGTTGTTTTAGGGGGGTGCAAAGAGGCGCGCAGCAAGGCATGAACAGGCCCACGATAGCTACGTGAAACATAGAACGACGAGAGCATGAAATGCAACACAAACAGCAGTCCCAGCACAGTAGACTACAGCCCGTGTGCGTACGTCCCTTGATCATAATTAAGACAGGAACCTCAGAGGATGCTTCGAGTATCAACCTGGCCTGAGATGCTAACATGACCAATATGCGACTGGAATCTCCCTGTCTCAAATCGGGCATCCCTGCGCAAGCTTGTGCTGAAGCTTCTGTTCCGAAGCTTTGCAAACCAAACAGCAAAGCCAGAGATTAAACTCAGTGAAAGGCAGAGAAGAGGGGGACCCCAATATAGACCCCAACATACTATAATCCTTATTCTGGGGGCCCCTAATCAGGAACCCCTAATTTTTCGGGAAACTCCCAGAGCAATCCGAAACCCACATGAGAACCGAGCTAAATAAGCTATAGTCTAAACTCTTAGCATCCCCCTTATAAACCCTATAGTAGTCACCTATATACTCCCCCATATAAGCCCCCTTCAGGAGTTTAGACGATACCTCAAATGCTGCCGAAGGGACACGTGGTGGATCGCCCATGTCCGGTTGGTCATCTTTGACCAGAGGTTGTGATGACAGCCTGTAGGTCAGCGGCCACGATGCCCCAGCCCAGGGTTTGTATGTTGTAGTCTATTATAATATATCAGAGTATAATGTAATATATAATAGTATATTATAGTAGATTATGGTAGATAGTCTTTTTTATTACATTATACTCTGTTATAGTCTACTTTCGCACATTATAGTATGTTATAACCTACTATAGTATATCATGGTATATCATAGTCAGTATATTGTGGTATATTATGGTCATCTTAGGGTAGGTCCTTCTTATATGGATATTTCCTCAGTGCTGGAGAATTAAAGGGCAGAGAACATGAAAATTGAACTTGAAACTGGGTGTTAATAGGATACGGAGGGCTTAGGGTTCAGGCTTTTCTTGCCTCTGGTTAGCAGGAATTGAAGCAATGGACAAGAAAATGGAAACACATTCATTTCAGCGGACCAGAGAGGGCCTGGTATGAGGATCCATCCCTTCATTCCTTGCAAACCAGAGGTAATTAAGCCTTTGGAAGGCAAAGGATTTGGGTAATTGGTACTTTAGTGTTTAGGGCTTAGGGTTTCAAATGCGGATGGGTCGCGAGTCTACTTCACAGGCTCACAACCACAGTTCGATGTGATCAGATCCCGAACTTAGACCGCCAGACTGGCTTGCAGAGCTGTCCACAAAGCTATTTGAAAGAACTCTCGCCTCTCCTAATTGTAACTAAAGGGTCCACAGGCCTGCGCAATCCCGATCGCCAAGGCTAGAGAAACCCCTACAGGTGCGACCTTCTCAGTGTCATGGATCATTCTTTGGGTCCCTAAGGCTAGGACGCCTTTACCCTAATCCCTAATTCCTGAAAACCCTAGTCCCGAAACCCTAGACCCCCACACCCTAAACTTAATTCGGATCCCCTGTTTCGGAAGAATCCAACTTAGCCCTGCGCTGGGCTCCATGGCAAAGACTCTGTTGTCAAAGTCATCCTGCCATGGGTCACGGTTGGAACGTAGAGGGTGTAGAGTTTAGGGATACATTGGGATGGAAAAGAAAAGGAAACTACAATTTAGGGTTTAGGTCACGGTTGGAATGTAGGGGATTATACATGGATCTTATAAGGTAGGGCATTATATAAGGATCGATAGGGACAATTGATGTAGGGGATTACAGAAGGATTGTATATGAAGAATGTAAGGAACGTGCAGGGGTTCAAATCAAATGGAAACTGGATCAGGTTACCAAAAATGAGGGGCCCATCTTGTGTGGTCCTTATAATAAGGATTCTACTGTATCATGGTCCATGTGGGTACCCCCCAGTCATGGAAACTACCGCAAGCTCTTGTTGAGTCGCGCTTGGAGCCATGGGGATATGGGCATATGAGAAAAAAACAGGGCCAGCAAGGGTTGGGGGAGATAGGTGCGAAAGGTTTAGCGTCTGGCATTGCGGCCTCCGGATTCCTCATCTAACTGCTCCAAAAGACGTGCCACTACTTGCGGAAACTATCAAGTTCCAAGTGAGACGCTCCACCCTGACCCTGCATCTCTCATGTCAAGCTGAAAATCCTCAAAACACATCGTAAGACCATGACCCACCCCTGATGATGCCTTATGATGCTGATGCCTAATGTTGACATAAATGGCCATGGTCATGACAAATGATGATGATGATGATGATTATGATGATGATGGTGTTGATGAGCATGATGATGATGATGATGACGACGGTGTTGTTGTTGATGATGATGATGATGATGATGACGGCTGGGCATGGGAGTAGTAAGTCACAAAAGATACGATCAGAGACTGACCGTCGGCATCATATAATACTCGCAGCAGAAACGATAATCAGAATGGCCCCAAAGGTAGCAATGGTCGCAGAAATAGCTGCAGCTGTCCAGCGTCAGGGACGGAAGGGGCTCATTCGCGTCAAAGAGCAGCTGACGCAGGTGGACCCCAATGCATGGGTCGTCACCTCACATCGTCTATGCATCGGGTTGATGATCTGCGTGGCGCAGATGGTTTGGATCGTCTAGATATCACTTCGCAAACAAACATTTGATCCAACTAAGAACGTGATAGCTTAGGATGGCACATATGGCAGGCTTGGAGTCGGGCATCCACCAGTAAGCAAGGCGGAGCTTCGGGTTCGTGGGTTTGCAGGACACCCCTTGCTTGCTGGGTCTTCGTAGGGAACAAGAGAATAAAACTCTGAACCCTAAACCACCAACTTTCCTCCCAGAAGCCATGATGCTGCAGAGTGGCCGTAAATCATTCGCAGTCGGCCCTGCCGAGATAGCGGAAAAGCAAAGGCACTTTAGGGGGCTGGGTAGGCAGTCCTTCGGCTCAAGATTAATGAGGGGACCATATATATATAATATAGAGGCAAATATAAGGTGTTAAGGCTTTACTTACTCCTACTTGGTACAGGACCTTCCCCAAAGCAGCTGCTTGCTTCGTCCACTCTAAGTGCAAGTCCAGAAGGCCGCAACCTCTGACAAGCCAAACCCGACATCAACAGATTAAATGTAGTCATTCAAGGGGTTTACATATTATATAGGCTTTAGGATTTAGGGTTTAGTTCGAAAACTTCTTGAAGGGGCTTATATGGTGGATTATATAGGGGAGTACTATAGGGGGTTTTACGGGGGACACTTGGAGGCATTTAGGCTATAGCTCAGATGACACTACAACAGACTTCTCGCAACCACACAAACTCAAGTTTGCCGTGAATCATACAGAACATGATCATTTGTGTCTTTCTCAATTGCAGCGATGGCCACGCTGTTAAGGAAAAGCATTCGCAAAGCACCAACATGATTCACGAAGAGTCATCGCAATGATCCCAACAGTATTAACAGCAATGATGGCAATCAAACAAGAAGATGCGATGCTGGTGCAAAGATGCTACTACTGCTGAATATCCAATTGCTGCAAGAACGTTGCTATCAGCATATTGATAGACCCGGGAATTTCCTGCCGTATCCCGGGCACAGGGTCACGCAGGGTTTTGTCCATCAACCATATGCGAGTTTCCAGGGAAGGGGCCCCCGATACAAACCCTGATGTTGCACGATCCTTGTTATAGGGACCCCAAGCAAGAAAACACGCGAATTTTGTGGACCCTAATCCCTATTAACGGCTATGTAGTCCCCGTTTCCATGGCATGTTCCATGTTCTTTTCCATTCGAGTCACCATTCTCGGGTGATATCCCCCTTAACCGTATCATTCCGACATGATCCCAATAGAATCCCCCCTGAACCCTAAAATAATCCGAAATAAGCCGGTTGTAATCCGAAGATTCGGAAATACCGACATACGTGCATACAAACCTACGCTAAAGCCTAACCCTCAATCCTATATGTATACATATAAGTATATATATATATATATCCCACACGCTTGGTGGCTGCCTCTTGGCTTGCTTTGGCCAGAAGGCGGACCACGTCCATCGAGAGAACCCGCACCTAAGCTGGCTTTGGACGTGGATCATAGGGTACAGAAGCCCAACTAGGGTTTAGGGTTTAGGGGTAATCTAGGGTTGTGTAAGGTTAAATAGGGGATAATGGAAAAGGAACTGGAAACTGCTGTTTAGGGTTTAGGGTGCCGGGTTGAGGTATGTTATCCGAATAACACATAGTAGGGTATATATTGGAATCGGAACATGAAGTGGAAACTGGAACTATATGCTGGTTTATAGGGATTTGGGCTTCGAAGATTGAAGGCGAACCTTGTGGGATAGTAAGGTTTATTTTGTGTACAGCTATATGCAGGCCCGTTTATAAGAAAGGACAGAACTATCACGGTTGCGAAGTGGAAACGCTACACTTGGCTTTCTTTCGTCATGTAGGGACTATAAGAAAATTGCTTTACAAGGAGATTTCCTCATGCAGGGATCACTGCGCACAGCCAGCAAGCTTGGTTCAAACCAGACCAGGCGCAACGCCGCGCGGGTAGGGCGGAAAGACGGGGAAGGGAAAGTCTTCCTGTCTCCATGTCACATGGCAGCGGCAATGTGCGGGATGCAAAGGTCCTAAAAAACAGAACCTGGAAAGAGAGAGAGAGAGAGAGAGAGAGAGAGGGCTTCGCAGAAGTCAGATCTCAGCTAGACGCTGAGGTAAATACCAAAGCCCTAAGCCCAAACCACCGCTGTCCTCCGCATTGTAAAAATTGTCTTCCTCGTCCCGGGGCACCGGGCTGATGTAATCGAAAATTGCCCAGGCATACCTTGGCACGATGCCGGCCTGCTATAGGACTGTAGGTGCACAATATAAGCGAATCATGGGACTAACCAGAACCAATAGACACAATCACAAAGGGAGTCTAGATTCTCTGAGCCTTTACCACAATAGTAGTACCGTAGCAGTCACAACATCGTAATTATCCGCAGACGCCTCTAACAAGCTGCATAAGCCCAAGTTCATGTTCCTGTCTTTCAAGTCATGTAAATTGCAAAGTGCCGAGAATTGAAACCTCCCCCATGAAACCATACTCCATCCCCTTACACCTGGCTCTAGCTCGTGCGCACTCGCCCAGCGCTACAAGACCTGCAAAACTGTTTATACAGGGTGCAAGTGATTTGAACAACTCAGATGCGTGTGCGTATCCTCAGGAAGAAACAAAGGGCAGGCAGGAGGATCTTACTCCCTGAGGGCGCTAAGCACTTGACCTTGCAATCCTCCATACAAAGCCCAAGAGCGCCAAGCGTATTCCAACAGGAAGTCACAAAGTCCCGCACTCCCCTGAATTCTAGAAGTCCTCATCAATTTGTGTTACACCATCCTCGGTTCCTAAGCTCTGAGCCAAGAACTCGAAACCCCAAACTTGGATTCGCCATCCGGGATCAAGAACATGTGTAAGATGCCGTCAGAATGAAAACCCCTATCCAGCATTTTCTGCGAGTGTCTGCGCTGGGATTCGCTTGTGAAGCTGCCTATACAGGCTTTTGGGAGAGGTTTGCACTCAAAAACTTAGACTAGAAAGCACCTTACTGTGGCAGCTGTTGCATGCTCTTAGGGTTTAAGGCTTGTATTGTAGAGTTCAGAGGTAGCGTGGGGAGCCGGCACTGCTGAAAGCTTTTTTGGCGGACTTCTCAGGGTTGTGTGTGGGAGAGGGGAGGTCCCAAGAAGAAGGATCATAAATCTTAAGCTAACAAGGGGCTGCTAGATTTGAGACATACCTCAATCACTGGTTTATGCTTACTTTGAGAAGGACGCGCGGAATACTCTAAAAACTCCACCAAATTTTCTGGACAGAGTGACCCAGATCTGACTGTCGTTTAGGGTTCAGGGTTTAAACCCAGAACCCTGATAGAGGTGCCTGAGTAATGTCCAAAACTGTTTTGAAGTCTTTTGGACCAACATTTGTGTCATTATTCCTATACACTCGTAAGCACAGTTTCCCTGTCCTTTGTACTCCCTGTGCAACCCCTACATCTCCACCATGCCACCCACAAGGTAGACAGGTCTCCAGCGAGGTCGTTTCAAGGGGGATGTCGAGGCAGCTACAGGTCAAACGCCAACTCACAGGTCAAACGCCAACTCATAGCAAAGCAATTCACTTCTTCCCCGCAAAGCAAACATGTCTTCAACGCACAGATCCCCAAAGGAAGGAAATTGATTTTGACGACAATCCCACCTGAATAATGGCGCGGGGCGCAGATAGACCTGGTAGGGCGGAAGCATGCATACTGGGCAGCTTCTGGACTGTAGTGCATCTACCTAGAAATTGGCAAGGAAGGGCTGACTGCCAATAGCATTTCCAGAAATATCCCCAACAACAATTCAAAAGTCCATTCTGCCCTGCCCTAGTCGGCGAGAACTACACTGCTGCAACCGGAGCAGTGTCGGAAGAGCGATGCACGAAAAACATTGGATTTGTCCTAGTCAGTTACAGCATAACTGAGGAGGTCAGGTTCAGCCAGGCTTCATCATCGTCTGTCTTGAGCAGGAATTCTGCTTCAGCGCGTTCCGCGATCCACTCGAGGAAGAGCAAACCCTGTGCGTCAGGGGGGTGCGGGGAATTACCTGTCACACTGAGTTGAAGATGCCAGTGAAAAAACTCTTGAAAACATGTTCAGGCTGATTTCCATGCGAAGTTGGGCGTAAGGTGCCCTACACCGGTCTCTGTAGTGGCCATGCAACCACAAACGACCCAAGCCGCCAGATTGAATGCCTTTCCACAAGGGTCATAAGGCATCTCCACAATTTTCGGATCCTTGCCCACAAGCACTGGATCCTCATTTAGAGAAACAGCTGCTCGTATTCGTCATTCCAATTTTATGTTCTACACCATCCCTTCTCAAAAATGGGATGATACCCAGGTCTCCAAACCATCGCATATTACATACCCACTCACCTTCCGGGAGTTCAGGCGGTAGCCCTCCGTGACAGGCAAGAAGACCAGGTCATTGTGCTCTTCGAGCTCTTGCCGCATCCGCCTTTCCTGTTTCAGGGTCAACAGTAATAGTAATAGTAATAGTAATAGTCATGGTAATGGTAATAGTAATAGTAATAGTAATAGTCATGGTAATGGTAATAGTAATAGTAATAGTAATAATAGTAGTACTAATAGTGACAGTAACGGCAATAGTAAGAGGAATAAGAATAGCAATAGTAACAGAAATAATGATAGTAACGGTCAAGAGTAATATTGTTGATGGACGAAATCCTGAATCAGTTTTCTTCCGCCAGCCATCCCGGCCAGCCCTGGATTTTAATATTGGGGCAGGGGGAGCTCGATCGCTGACAACTGCGTGCTCTTGATCTACAAGGTCATGCACGCTTTTGTCCATCCACCGTAGTAATAACAAAGACACTAATATTCATAGTAATAGTAATGGCAATAGTAAGTAAGAGTTTCAGGGTCTATTATTGTTCCACCACGGCCACTGCAACTACGGCTGTACAATTTCCAATCTAGTAACACGGAATCCGGGGAGTCTTGTGAAACATCATCCATGTCGCATACGCTGTTGTATCCCTATTATCATTACTATGGTCATGAATACTATTACTATTACTGTTATGATTATGACTATCATGTCAAAATGGCTCAGTCCCGGAAACTCTTCTGCCAAAATGTTTTGCCCTGCCTCAAAGCTTCATTGTTGTTTTTTACAATATTGGCGTTTTGAAGAAGATGTTGTCTAGCTTGTAAGTCTCTCATGTTCTTGTCAGACTCACGAAGCTCTCAGCACGTGTCATCCCTCGATAGCTTTATCCGCAAACGCTCCTCGGCATGCTGCTCTTGACATATACACATACCTCCAGGACAATCCTTGGGTTCTCCCGCATCAACCCGAAACCATCCCCCAGTCATCGACATGCGACCCCTACCTATTCGGCACTTGCGAGGCCCACTTACTCAAAAATGACAAGCTACAAAACTATTTGCCCTCCTCCCTTGATTCCACTGCTTGGGATGCACGGTCTGGCAGGCCTCCACGGAGGCCCCAGCGCTGCCCTCGCCCAGGAAAAAGCCTCAGCTTTGCACGAGGGTCTACTAGTTCAGTACGTGTGCTTGAAATCTACGGAATAACCCTACAATCGTTATGGGTATGGGCGCTAATCTCTAATCAATTAGACTAGCTAGCTTCAAAAAATCCTATACCATACCGCTATCCCTACCTGACTTTGCTCGAGCTGTGTTCCCGAATGCCAAACGAATCTGCAGCGATGTCGTGGTTAGCAAGGAGAGAAACAACAGGATTAAAAAGCACCTACAACCCAACTTCCTTCAACCCTGACCCTTAAGTAACATGGTAATAACCCCAATATAACCCCAATATATACCCTACTATAATATAGTAGAATTTAGGAGGACCCCCCACCCTGTAATAGTGGTATAATAGGAATATAAGAGGACCCTAATATAATCCCTATTATCCCCTATAGTCACTATTACTGGGTGGGGGGTCCACCTAAAGTAGAATCCATTTTCTTTTCCATTATCCCTATATTACTAGGTTCCGTCTTCTCTTCCCTTCCTGCCACCAAGGAGGCGGTAGCGCACGCCGTAGTGCTCTCGGAGGAGCCGGCCCCATGTTTCCTAGAAAGACACAAGGGAAGGTTTAGGGTTTTTGTTTAAAAAAACCGAGGACGTTTAGGGTTTAGGGTGTAGGGTTTAGGTGCGTGGTCTACTGAGAGGGTCAGGGAGGACTTACGAAGTAGCTTAATAATGGGGACAACTGGCGTTATTATATGGTTTAACCCTGTATAACCCGCATAGAATCCCCATATACTCATTACAGAACCAGATGTATCCCTATAGAATCCCTGTATGTCCCTAGCATCTAGGAGGTTGGATTTGGGATTCCGGATTCGGGGCTAGCTACCGGAGAGGATGCAAAGAGCTTCACAGTCAAGAGAGGTGGGTTCCAAGCTTGAGGCCTGCAGTTTAGGTTTTAGGGTTTGGGGTAGAAGAGTTGGTAGCTTCCGCGAATACGGTACAATCCTTATTAGGAGGACCAGCTATAGGGGACCCTAATTTTTGGAAACACCCATTTATTTGGGCGCCTCAATTCAAGTGTACACTTCTGGGTGTGGCAGAACGCTTAGACTGCAGGGTTTACAGCAATGGAGGAAATCTTGCAATAATTCAGAATTTCAATCGACTGTAATTATTCCTGGGTTATACTGTAGAAATGCGGTACAAGTCTTCCACCCACTTTGTATTCAAGATATATGGAAATGCAATACCATGCGACAGTAAGCCCATATATGTGTACGAAATGTTCTAAACATTAAGCTGGAAATCCTAATCAGAACCATACAGCACTATCAGCTGCAGCCAATTATATGTACCAAGTTCACTAACTACTTCACATCTCTTGTATACATATCTCTGGAAAATCTTCACGGCAATGCACATGCAGCTACATCAGGTATCTTCAGAACTTTTTACAGGGGTATACACAGGCAGACATACACGTAAATATATGTGTCGAGGTTCGACACACATAAAAGCTGAACATACCGCCATTGCCAGGTCAACACAAATTGCTGGCAGCGTTTGCAACTCACTTAAGTCTTTGCCTTGCCTGTGGAACTTGGGGGCGCCTCGAGGAAGACATGAGTGAACAGCTGGAAAACACACTGCTGAAGATGCTGCAGAGGCAAAACCCCGACTCTGCAAAACTTCTAGCTGCGCAAGTTTGAACAATTCGCGCCTCGTACCTCGAATGTTCTTACAGCAAACGTGAGGGGGAATCCTGACATTTAGCCGGCACCACTGCCCCGCGCTGCCCTTTGTCCCACGCACATGATATCTCTGAACTGCTCCTTTTCACCCCTGCGCCACCCGGATATCGCTCACCACCGCTGCCCGCACGCGTCCCCAAATACACGCAGTGTAGCTCGCCAGACCAGCATTCGTCCACCCTGCTGCCCGTTGTCATCTCGACACTGACCCTTCGTCCCCCTGTTCCCGATTGCCTTCATCCCGCACCTATCCAGCAGTCCTCTTTGTCATCTTCACTGCCGCCTTTTTTCCCTTGCACATCTCAGAGGTCATCCCCCGGTGCCCTCCCGTTCCAATCTTGGAGAGGTCTCCGATATCCGATATGAACGAGAAACCAACCCCACAAGAGTTTGGGGGAAACTCGAAAGGAAATCTGGATAAAAAATGTTTGAAACTGCAGCTCGTTAATTGAACTCTGAAAACACCGAAAGATACAGAGCTAAATTGGTGATTCATAACAGAACTATGACCATCCCCCAGTCAATCGCACCAACTCTGATGCAACAACTGCTTCCCTTACGTCTCCACGGTTATGATTATGATGAATGCCAGTAGCAGTAGCCGCGACATATGCACCGAACCACTGAACACTGCTTGGCATATTGGTAGTTGTTCACAATACCTGTCCCCAAAATGGCCATAATGTAGCTTCCCTGTTTGGATAGAATTCCCTTTTAAGGAAGTGTATTCCCAATGGTCCCTTCTTTATAAGGACCTTTGGAACAACCCCCCATATGCATTAGGAGCAGTTCTGCGAGGTGAAGAGGCAGATACGGTTCCCTGATCGCCTGGAACCCCAAACCCTCAACCCCCTATAGTCCCCCTTAAGTAGATAGAATATGGGGTATATGGGGATCTTACTATAATATACCCAAAGCCATATTCTATCTACTTAAGGAGGACTATAAGCCTGCAGAATCCAGAGCATCACCCCGATTCGTTCACTGAAAGCGGCGCATGCCCAAATCCTAAGCCCCAACCCCAATCCTGGGGAAGCACTCACATCTGAGGATGTGTCCCGGACAGCTTTCCGCTTTTCGAAGTTCTTGCGGGCAGAGTAGATACCGACAAAAACAAGCCTTTGCGGCAGGAACTAGACTTTGCTTGGATACCAGAACCATTTTCTGTGCCTGCAGGAATCCCCCAAAGGAAAATTCTGCTCTAGAGTCTAGAGCAGCATCTAGGCATTCAATCGTTCAATCTGGTGACAACTGCAGAGATGGGCTCTGTGGGTCGACGCATGTTGCTGTACGGGTGCCGCTGTGGCCGCTGGTACCCCCCACAGAACCCCCATATGTTTGGGAGGTCTACACACGCACATAGCTGGGGAGGCTGGAAAGGGAAGGAAACCGCGATGCTGAATCCATGGGCTACAGGGACTTCCTAGGTACAGCTGCCCCAAGACAATTCCTACATTTGCCACGGGTTGGGGCGTAGCCCACACAACACCAAGGTGCATATGACCATGGCATAATGTTGTCCTGGAACAAGCCTGAAAATCGATCCCGAGAGCAGGAATGCCAAGAAGACAGACAAGAATACCATCAAGACTGTTAGACATTGACACAGCTGCAACATTGTGTTCCATGCCCTAAGGATGTCCCCACCAGATTCATGATCTGGCTTGCCAGTAAATTTAAGTCGCCATATTATAAGTACATAGTAAAGAACGGGTTTCCTCGAGGAACCCAGTGATTGCTTCGCACTTGTCATCCTCGTGCAAACCTCCCTGCCCTCCCCAAAGTAGCACAGAAAACCAGCAGTGGCTTTCATAGGGACTACTATCCCCTGCAAGGTGGCTATATGGGTTACCATCCGTTCTGTGTATCTTGGGGCAACAATAGGAATAATAAGAATAACAGTAATAGCAATAAGAATAGTAATAGCATTAGTAACAAGAGGACAAGAAGAGGAATTTGAGGGATAATAATCGGAATAATCATAGGAATGAGAATAACAATATGGTAGTTTCCCAAAATAAGGGGACCCCAATGTAGACCCCAAAATACTATAGTCCTTATTATTGGGACCCCCAAAAAGGTACCCCTAATTTTGGGAAACCTCCATATCAATAAACATAACAATGGAGGGAATGAGCCCCAGATGCGGCGGCTTGTTGCTGGGCAAGTCGGCCAGCAACCTAGCGCAAGGAGATCCAAGGAGCAACGAAGATAGCAACTGTTGGTTACTCATTAAAGATAAGGGTTTGGGATACTACTGACCCATGTGATAGGCAATTGGGCTAAGATATGTAATTGACATTGGAAAATAGAATCACAGTTGACCCAGGTGACTAAAACCACTAACAAGCGTGGAATGGGAGTGATGCACATTAATGGTACTACAGGCTAGAAGGCATCAAGACACCATTGAAAATGACAAACAAAAAAAGATCTCTTGCAGTAGGAGAAATACAAGAACATGCTGATAGTTCTCGCTCATCTTGTAGCAGAAACTGCACACTTGCATGGAGAAGGAAGTTATGAACCATGTAGATTTCGCTTGACGGCATGCGCCGCTAGTTTCTCTTGACGACTGTTGGCAATGCTCACAACTCTCATGTGGACCTCCCGATCATGCTCATTCGTCAGAAGTGCCGACAGTGGGTGAGCTTTCTTTGTAGAGTCCTCGACTTTGTGTAGCAATTTACAAAACAAAGTCCATGCAACCTCTCCAAGGAAGGTAAACTGTAACTAATGATATCGCACGAGCATCCTCCCTCGCTTAGGAGGCCCTTTGAGGAATGGGCTTTCTGAGGGGATATAGCATTTACCTAACTCGGTTTAAGGTTTAGGGCTCAGGGGATATAGCATCTTAACTCCGGCGTCCCTCAAAGAAAGCACTGCCTGCACATTGTACAGGCTTGGCTGTAGAGTTTCTCCTCGAAGGGCCGATTGTATCCTTAAGGGCTCTGGTCATGAAGGTCGAAGATGTTAGACGTCAAGGCAGGCAAGTTGGGGAAACTCATTGAAATGAAGACATCCTCAAGAGCATCACATGGAAATGCTAACGCTTCCTGTGAAATCATTACGGTTTGGGGCATTGCTTTCACAAGGTGGCACTGCGAAGCATCACTCCAATAACTAGGCCTGATAAGCCGCACGGTTTCGCACTGAGGGTAGGGATTGTGTAGCTCGGGATATGGGGGGTTGTCGAAATTATGGTCCCTTTTTGGGTCCCCTAAATTAGGCCCCGTATTATAATAGGGATCCCAAAAGGGACCATTATTTTGACAATCCCCCATATGATATTGTTTCTAGTCACTCATAGGAGTCAAGCCCTCCCTACATAAACCAACTGCCCATTCGTTTTCCATTGTCTTTTCCATGTGCTTCTCCTTTACTGTTGCGGTTGGGCTACTCCACCAATATCCCTAAACCCCGATATGATCCTTTTTAATCCCCCATATAGTGCCTATACGGTGCCTGTACAACTTCTGCATAGACCCTATACAGCTCCCCATTTAATTTCTCTGTAATCCCTGTGCAGCTCCTGCATTTTTTGTCTCTAATCACGGTTCTTTGCGGGATTCTTCTTGCTGAGGAAACTGAACTCCACTATAGACCTATGCAGTGACAGGGGTTTAGGGTTTGAGGGTTTGAGTCCTTCAACCCTAGACCCTAAACCGGCTGTCGGGTCGCGGCAAACAAGTCATTGAGAAAAAGGACGAAATGAGTGGGTTCTTGTTAAAGAACTTAAGTAAAGCTCCCACCATCAGGAAAACCAATAGCATAGTTACAAATACAGATGGCGGTAGCTTATTTCAGATCCCTCAACTCCCTAGAAAGCCCCTGTATAACTCCAGTGTCCATTTCGTCTTTTACTTTCTTCTTCGGTTTGATTTCCAGTGTGTAGTAGACCGTGTAGAACCCACAATAGTATGATGGTTCCCATCTTCTTTCCGATTTCCTGGACCCTGAACCATTCCTTGTTTTCCATTCTGTATTCTTTCGCAGCAGTAACTTCCCACTTAAACCACATCATTTACGTTCGATCCGTAAATCCCTGTGAAACCCTGCGTGACCCACTTTGCATGTTTCATTGCCCATTTGATTCTCGATGATTGGAGTAAGATGCCTACCCTATACCACTCCCGTACAATCCCTGTAGAGAAACTCCGTAAACCCTCCCTAATCTATATCATATACCATAATATACCCTAAGATACCATAATAGTAGTTTCCATTTTATTTTCCATTATCCCAATATAACACCTAAATAGCCCCAATAACTATAATCCTGTGTACCCAGCCTTTTCCCCCGTAACGGTAAACCGGGAAATCAGAGCCTGGTAGTGCATCCAAGGTGCTGTACTGCACCTGACATGCCGGTCCCATATGAATTTCATACTGCTTAGGGTTCAGGGGTTTAGTTTGGGTTGGGCCCCCACCCACTAATCGTGACCACCAGGGATAAATGTGTGCCAGCAAACAGGATCTCCCCAAGTCATCCAAGTCGTGGCCCCCTTTTGAGGGTTGGTCTGCAGCAGTCAAGGATTCCGAAGAGGGCCCCGAATGGATTTCCATCCGCCTGGTCTTGGATGATGCGCTGGTAGTGCCACAGCGCGCCCAGTTGCTTGTTGTGCCTTACATGCGTCATCTGCCATTCAACCCATGAAGTCGTTCAAAGGTGGATTTAAAAAATGATTGTCGATACTTCAGAATCAATGACATCCCCCCACACTCCACATCGATGCTCTGTAGCTTGATGTCCAAGTGTTTCCACGCAAACTACGTCTCATA